TCTGGAAGTGCGAGGTAGGAAAGGGTTGAGATTTTGGATCCCATGTTTTCGAACTCCAACTTGCCCAATCTAAACATTTAGGTTCTCCGTCATTTCTCTGAACTACAACTGCAGGATGACAGCTGAATGGAGAGAGATGAATCATATTCTTCAATGGTGATTCCTGTCCAACAAAGTAAACTACCCTGTTCACCAGCCAGCCGAAAGAAACGCTCTCTTTCTCTCTCTCTGCAAAATGAATCAGGAATCCTACCTCAATGGGAGCAGGAGTTTTCACCATTCAAAATCAAAAGTACAATTCACTCCAGAATACCCAGCACCATTCGCGTCCAATTTAGCAATGCCAACTCCAACTAATCCAGACGCAGAAGGGAGCAGCAGACACGTATTGCCTTTGGTTTGTTTGGAGAGACTCAAATTTCACAATGGTTTTTAGAACGGATGGAAAGCACAATGCAATCTTGCATTCGTCGCAAGTGAAAGCATAACAGCGAGTGTGAGGATCGTGGTTTGGTGGCGTAGCTGAAAAATTGAAATATTAGAATAAAAATAAAAACTGTGCCTCTCACTCGGCAACGATGTGCTCAAGTTGAATGGGTTGGATTTGAAATATTTTGACACGACGAGGCAGGCAAGACTTGCATTTGCATTACCTATGCAGCCAGTCAGACATTTCATCCTCCCATTTTCACGTCTCTCTCTGTAACCAACTGCAACTGGGGTCCGAAGTTATGATGACTTGCTGCTGCTCACAAAGTTGAGTGAGATGATGAAGAATTGGCACTAAAATAAAATGCATCGCTTGCATCGCGTCAAACTTTCCCCTACGTGCACCACGCCGTAGCTCCCGTATTGTGGATCATTTCTCATTTTCACTCCTCTCTCATCTGGTGTAAAGTGGGGTTTGGGGTGCGTTGAGTTTGTTGTTTATGTTTACTTAGAAAAATTACGCTTTTCACTTTACGAGCTCACTCTTCTGAGCGTCAATTGTCGATGTCAATGATGGGGCAGAACTTTGGTTGATACACTTACGGACATACAGATAGGAGAGAGATATGTAGATGTGTGATGAATTATGAAAATGTGTTTATTGTCCTTTGAGTAAGATGGATGCAATTTTGGTGAAAGTGTTAACCTATTTTTTCATTGCTTTCATTTTCGAACGATTCGGAAATTATAGATGCACAAAATAGTAAAAGCAAATCAGAATTGTGAAGAAGTATCTAGCACGCCAATAAATAACCAGTCAGCTCATATCTACAAATGGTGAGAGCCATCATGTATTAGCGTATTCGTAAAATGCACCGGCTCACATAGTCTGCGTGATTGGTTCTTCAAATTGCCAAGAAATTGTCGGCAGAAATATCAGATGGTTCAAATCTTTTCAGCCTTATTCACATATCGGAAAAAGGAACTGATGATTTCTGAAACATTTTAAAAAGGTTTGCAGAGTGGGAGCTACGATGCTAATGCACGCGATGGTTACGATGAGCGAATATTGTGATGACGAGATGAAAGCTGGTGCACCATGTTTGTCCCTTTGAAAGTTGCATCTCTTGGTGGGTAAGCTGCATCCCGTCATCAAACTCTCCTCCTCCTCTGGTCTTCTGGTGGTGGGTCGCAGATGGTCGTAATCTCGAAAGCGGGGGGTCTCCATTTTATGGGCTCAGATTGAAACTTTTTATTCCCGTCCGGCCTCCACAAACTGCTTAAGCTTCTCTTCGTCTTCATCCCTCCGCTGGACCCAAACACCTCTGAAACGGAGGCATCTTCCTGAAATCTCTTCTGCTCAGGGGGAAAATGTTTGTCTTATTATTATTATTTTTTGGATCAGAAAGTGCATCCCAGAACACAAGGTCGTCTCTTCCACAACAGAACAGCACAAGTACACACTTGGGTTTTGTTTCCACCATCTGATGCCGATCTCATTGGTGCATGATGCTCTTTCCTCCCACTTCCACCGCGTTATATTATATCTTTAGCAGTTCCCTGCGGTCTTGTTTTGATTTCAACTTACATTGTTTCCAATTCAGTTGTAGTAAATTCTAGGCTGGAAGCGCACTAAAGTGCAGTTGCATCTTCCAGGGGGAAATTTACGAACAAACCAAAGTTTCTTGTCCTTGGGCCACATTTGATCTCAAGTTGAGTCGAGGAGGCCGTGAATCTCGCCGAAGAAGAGAATTCTTGCTTCCGTGACGAATGTGACACATTATGCATTGCAGTCGCGTCCTGTCACATCCGTGTTTTCGGTTTCTGATTTCCTGTCCAATCCTGTCCAAAATGATTGGAGAATAGTTTGTGCCATGTTTTATATCTTTTCTCTTGTTTCGTTTCTATTACTATCCGAAATATTGGAGACGGGATGCTTTCCAAATAGTATATAATCCTCAAAAAATGACAATTATTACTTGTCATCATTAAATGTCGTTCATAAGATCCATAAGATCTGTAAGATTCTCTAAATCATTATTTATTTTAAGTTTTCGTCGCTGATGATCACAACATTACTCCCCATTTTTCCATATTCACGGACGAAAATCAAATTGACTAGCCCCATCAAAGTAAAATCTGAATCTCTCCACAGTAAAGCAATGACCAAATGGGGAATGTATTTTGACTTTCGAGTGGAGAACGCGGAAGGAACGAGCACACCGCCAGACGTGACAAATCCTAGGTTACTTCAAAGTGGAGAAAGCAGGAGGAGGAGAAGACGAGGGGATGATACTTGCTGAAGTCGAGCCGATTTTACAATTATTTGGAAAGCCAACGCTGCACTAAAGGGTGTTAATAAAGTCCGATCCCATTTTTCCTATAAAAAAGTGAAGGCTAGTATAAAAAAAACTACCCGTGATACTTACAAAAAATGTTCGACATATTTACCTTAGTATTTGGTCTTGTTACCATTTACTTTAACCATGCCCTCAACTCTTTGTTTAAGGCTCTGTGCTAATTTTTCCAATGTGTCTGTGGGAATCGAATTCCATACATCTTGAACTTTTTTTACTAGCTCTTCCCTCGTCCGGGGTTGTGGTTCTTTGTATACATTTTCCTTAAGTATGGACCACAGGTTCTCCAGGGGATTCAAATCTGGGCTGTTTCCGGGCCACACCCCCTTGCTCCAGACCGTTGAAACTTGCGTCTTGATGAGACTCAAACTCGCTTTTGCTGTATGGGCTGTAGCACCATCCTGCATGAAAACTATTTTTCTTTCATTCGGAAATATTTCCTTGTTCCCCATGCTATCGAAATAGATAGGTAATATTTTTTCCATATAATACTTTGCATTGACTGTTTGGCCTTTTGGTATGATATGTAGAGGAGTCACGCCACGTGCACAAAATCCACCCGCTACCATAACTTTAAGCCCGAATTTTGGGACTACTCTTGATGGTACATCCGATTTGTTTTCTGTCCTGTAACGAACATTTTGTTGGTTCAATTTTGGATATAGCTCAATAATAGATTCGTCAGTCCAAAGGATGTGACTGCGCAATTCTTCACCAAGTCTTTTTTCACTCAAATGGGCACTTTTCTGAAGGAGTTCTTCAAATTTCAGACGGTCATCGATATATTTTTGTGACATGAGAGGTTTTTTTGGTTAGTTTGTAAGCTGTGTGACCCCACTTCGTAGTTTTCACAAATTTTTGCACGGTCACACAGTTAATTTGCTTCTTCTTCTCTTTATAGCGTTTTGAGTCATTTAACTCCCTTGCTCAATTACGTAATGAACTACCGGTTTTCTTGCAAAGTCTGTTTTTAATCATTCTTTTTGTGGTAGGTGACACCTTTCTGGGTCGCCCTGGTCGCTTTTTGTCGTGGACAAAATTTTTATTCTTCCATTTCCAAACAGTTCTGCGGCTGCAGCCCAATTTTTGCACAATTTCTGTAGGTTTAAGCCCCTGCTGATACAATGTTTGTATCTCAACTCTAAGATGCTCATGACTTACACGTTTAGTTGTTCCTCCCATGGTAAAAATTTGAAATAAATAACTTCACTGGTTCAAAAGTTCCAGCTGAATTTGTAACAACCACGCTCCAAAAAATGCATGGGATCGGACTTTATTAACACCCTTTAGATGAGTTCTCCGGTACAAGTGGATGGAACCCATTAAGGGCCAAACTACTACATATTTAGTTGAGGAGGAAATGTGTGTGCGGTGAACGCATCTGTTTGCAGAAAGTTGCAATCACAAGTGAAAGTCGCCATTTCCAGGGTCGAATCCATGGCAGAAGGGAGAAAGCTGTCACATTTTGAGGATTCCGTTGTCCTCTCGTAGATATGTTTCCGTTGGACATTTTCCATTTCACTTCATGAGCATTTCATTCAATTTGGTGGGAGGATTGCGATGATCATTAGAATCAATAATGAGACACTCAATTCAATGCGATGGTGGCCATGAGCGTAAATTCTGGTGAAAGTTTCAAAAGTGGTTGTTACTCCCTCGCTCCCTTCCTCCCGATGCCGGCATGCTTATTATTGCTGATGTTGTCTCTCTGTAAACAGTGTGACTTGTGTCTTGCACTCTGTTCGCTCAGGGGTTGCAGTCTGGTGGCATTCGAATGGGACATTTGATTGCCTGTGTAGTTTGTACTGCATGCACTGCTGGTTGAGCGAGATGGGCATTTCCGGAAGTGGATTGCAGGAGAGGGAATTTAAGTGCACGTCATGAGGACGCTGCTGCTGCTGGTTGTTTAGTTTGTTATCTCGACCCGCTTCATCCCGGTTGAAATATGTTTTTGGACTGCAAGTTGAATCTCAGATTATCTTTGGCTTAGTTAACCTGCTAAATTATTTAAATCGCAGCGAAGGATGTAATGGAGTGCATTAATTAAGATCAGGTTAATTGATATTTGCATGGATGGAGTGGTACTATAAGAAAATGCAGCTCTGCAGTTATGCACACATGAACCAATTTTGTCAATGAAAGTGCATGGACGACATCTCATCCTCAGTGATAAGACTATGACGTTAATGATTACGACATATTTGTGGTTTCTAGGTGAAAGTCATGCTTCGAGTGTGCGAGAACCCAGAGGAAGCGAGTGGGCCTGGAATTCTGGGCGTGGACCAGCGACGCAAGCAAGTAAGTGGACCTTACATATTCGAATATAAGTTTGAACTTTAAAGTAGACAATAATTCCTGTAAATTAAAGAAACAATAACCCTCTAAAAATTAAATATTTATATAACACGGCACATGCGCTTAAGCATTGTCCACATCATACCAACAGTAATTTGGTACATAAATATTAATGGAATTTATAGGTGACCCTGATCGACCCAGGGGGGACGGGCCCTAATGGGATTACTCCAGAGGAACGACGTGTCGGAGTCTCGGCCCCAAAAATGTTCGGATTCGACGGGATTTTCAGTGAAGATGATGACCAGGTCCGTCTTCCCAAATCTTTCGCTACATTTAATTCCTCCGTATTTACTAATGCCCCCAATGGTGCAGCGCATCATGTCCACGTGACTCGTAAATCACTGCGTGAATTTAATAATATTATAAGCACGTAGATATACGTATATGTAAGTATCAGCACATATCACAACATTACAATGAACACAAGTTCGGGGAGGGAGAGGAGGACAAGTCGGATTTATTATTAGATGAATGGATGGATTTGTGACATTTATCATTTTCTATCACGAGAGACACAAAGTCGATACTTTGATAAATCTCGTAAAGTTCTAAAAACACGTCGCGGCTGGGGAAGAAGGAATTATTTATGTGCATCAAAAGTACCTGTGCCGGTCCCGATACAATATCAGAAATGCCAAGTTTTGCAGCAACGGGAGTGATGAGAGTTTGTTTCGTAGGTAGGTTTAACTTAAACAAAAAGAAGATTTCGTGTCCCTGGGTCTCGTGGAGCCCTATAGCTCCCCGTCATCCCGAAATCCCACTTGATTGGATAACTTGAAGTCATGAGAGATGATAAAACGGGAAAGTCGTCGTCGTCGTCTTCTTGACAACTGCTACTCCTCGTCACCGTTGACTTTTACCAAAACCAAAATCTCAAATGTCTCTCTTCTGACTCTGCTCTTTCTCTCTCTCGTAAACTAAACCATTTTCGATTTTACGTTCGAGTCAGATCCTCATCATTTGATAACGTGGTCTTCTTATTCCTACCGCTTCCTCTCCACACAATGTCATAAAGTATATAAAACAGCATAAGACGGGAAGAATGGGGTTCCATTTTTACTGCTCTCTACCTTATTTAAGGCATTTTTAGTCCGTGCAAGTTCTTCATGCCACCCACCTTCCCAATCGAAACGTCCTTGCATTTACTTATGCATGCGTTGGTTAAGAGAAGGTTGATACCACGACCACCACCTCCGCCTCCACCTCTCGCTTTGGAGTCCCCATAAGCGAAGGCAGTAGGGAGAAAGCAAGTCAATCCCAGTTTGTATGACAAAATGATGACTATGACACATGAAATCCCGCTTATCATTTTCCCATCCATTATTATGCTCTCTCTCCTCTCACTCTTCAATCACTCTGCTTTTACTCCCATCATCCCTTTGTCTCAACACAATTCAAACTGCAAAATCTCCATTTTCATCTCCTCCTTTCCAGTTTGGAGCTTGTTGCCCATTATTTTGTGCCTTCACAGCCATTTCCTCCCATTGTCTTATTGTTGTACGGAGTATTTGGATCTCCTTTGTTTATCTTCAACTTCTTGTGCTCACTTTTTGGCTGTCTCGTCATATTCAATTTGTGCTCGGAAACCAATAAGCAGTAAAAGAATGATCTGTATTTGCACAATCATTTCCTTCCTTCCCTGATCATCATCCCCTAAAGATGAGTGCATACGTATACCAAATAATAGATGGTTTTCATTCCCTCGTTATAACTTTCAATATCCGTCGTGACATCGATATTAGAGTCTCGACTTTTGCTGGACGCACGCATTTTTTATAGTCTTTTAGTGCAAGCTGACGACGATGTGAAGGGTCAGGGCCAGCACATGCACATACGTTGGAAGTGAAAAGTGAACACTAACGATTTCCATTTTTAATAGGGACATTGCAACATGTATAAAGAGCGAGGGCGACCTTATGCACTCGACACATCCATCCAACGCAATGATCGAGGACTACTCTTAAATTGCATTTCACAGGCCAAAGTTCAACCTCATAGTGCAAGGCCCGTCTGAATCCCACCCCAGCAAGGCAGCAATTTATGCTCGCACTTGGGAAAAATAGGAAGACAAAAGATGGGAATAAAAAAGTGTTTTTAAAATACTTCTGAGATAAGCACCACATTATGACACGACATTCTTCTTTATATTCAACCACAATTTCTTTACATCCCACTTTCGCCCAAGATTCACAAATTATAAATGCGACACGGAACAATTTGGGCATGATTTATGTTGAGAAAGATATGAACTCGGGGCCGCCCCTCCTGTCCCGATTCAATATGTGATGTGTCCTTCGCATATTCATTACGAATAATATTGTCCTCCAGAGACAGATTATTGCACCAAATCATAAACTACCTCCAGCCACCAAGCAGCCACTTCTGCTCCGACTTCATCTTTGTCCAACCAACCCTTCCAACCCAAGCAGAGTTCTGGGGAAAGTCGTCACACAAGTTTGTGAGTTGCATCGTAATTCCTGCACTTGCCTCCTTCCGAACTGCAATTTTCACTGGGAAGACAATGTGTGGCGTGGTGCTCCATTATCTGCTGCAGAAATGAACCATCTGAAATCTGGAGAGAAATTTGGTCCGACTTGCTTTCTTCCTTCCCCTCTCCGCCCATCCATCCAACTCTTTCCTTCTCCCGTCCTACAGCTTGCGAACGGCGAAAAAGAAGCCCACTCAAAATTTTTACGTCCCATTTTCCGGTTTCCTCTTCCGGATTACGAGTGTTGTAGTTGCAATTTCCGAATGACTCAACTGCACGCGTTTTCCACGTTTTCATTGTTCTTAGGACAATGGCTCACGAAAGAAATAATGCAGCAGCGATTGGGAAAGATTGGTCTCGTGTCGAATTGAAAAAAATATGAGTGACATTTCTAATATTCCATGAAATTTACCTACTGATCCTAAGTATATGTCATACACATTATGGTATTGTAGATTAACCATACAGATACAGATACAGATACAGATACATACATGCATATATCCAGTGTAACCAGAACTTAACTTCACCTGAAAACACAAATCCATTCGTGATGATCGCGTTAATGTTAAGATAGGTGAAAGTAGATTTCTAAGAAGACCAGCGAAGCAAAATGCTCTACTTATTCCTTCAACTGAGTAACTAATTGTTGTCAAAACTTTGCTTTGTCTGTGGTTGGTGAAGTTGAATTATAATATGAAAATGTAACAAGTGTTCTTAATATGCAAAACAGGCGGAAATATGTGCTTCAGCTGCTGCAGAGCTGGTTGCGTCTGTCATCAGGTAAATTCAAATATTTTGGCCTTTATTAAGCCATGTATTTATAACTATGAAAATATTACAAAATTAAGCAAACTAACCTTACTACGTATGTATTTCAGTGGAGAAGATGGATGTTTGGTTGCATTAGGATACTGCAGCGCAGGTTGGTTCTCTTTTACAGCAAAAATTTATTAAACCCCATTTATCCACTTATTCATGACCTGAGCTTATCCATCCAGAGCTCTATTTCGTATTTATAATAATTAAAGCTTCCATTTCGCGAAAAAAGGAGGATGCAGCTTTATTTTCCTTTGAACAGTCAACAACAGATTATGCAGCTTCTCCTCCTCCTCCTACGATATATATAAATACATGTGCGATGAGAGGGTCGAGCTATCGTCGCTCTGTCGTTCGTGCACAAGGGTAATAAATGCTAATGAAGCTGCTAAAAGTTAGGCGGAGAAAGCTAAGACAGCTTTGGCACTCCCCTTAATTGTGATGACTCCTTGAAATCTTAAACTCATCTGGGAGTAGGAAGACAAGACGTCGTCGTGCTGTCTTAAACTGTCTTTCCTCATTAATCCATTAAACTCGAGTTAGCTCATTTTTCTCTTCAACCATCTTTAACTGCTGGTAATCGTCCAACAAAGATCCATGTGTACACGCGTCCATGCACACATTGTGCATGTGTTTTATAAGAATGGTCTAATTACAAAATTGAACGTAACTGAACTTAACTCTACATATTTATGTAGGAAAGAAACAGACCATGTTTGGAAAACCTTCCACCCAAAAGCTAGGAATGATTCCAACAGCGATTTCCTGGTTGTTTAAATCCATTCAGGAACAGAAGCAGAAAACTGGTTCTCGTTTCTCGGTTAGTAGATTTATTTATTAAATTTCATCATTTATTTGCAAATGCGTATTCGATTCCTGACAAAAAATGATGCATTATGAATCCTGACGTACCAGGCAATAATAACTCGTCTCATCAAAACTTTAAACCGCTCTGACGCAGCAGTTATTCTTTATATTTTTATTTTACACTTTGGCAGGAATCCGATGTATTTATCTTTATGGTCCCAATTTTAAATTACAATTTTATAAATTCAATTAAAAACACAGGTCCGCGTTTCGGCTCTTGAAGTTACTGGGGGATCCGTACATGAAACCATCACTGATTTACTTCTTCCCTTCGTGAACGGTAAGACTTTTTTAATTTGTAATTTTGCTCTGATCCAACTTGAGAAGAATTTCGTCACAAGTAGAAGAGACAAAATTTTCACGATGGTGAAAGTTGCATGCACGAGTTTGCATCTTAAAAGTGGAAGAAAAGTTTTTGAGACCAACCGGAGAAAAAGGATGCATTTCCGGTGTTACATATCGTTCTAGGCCGAGCTGGGTAATTCTCCGGTTCATTTAAGACGGGAAGATGTGGGGAAAGATTTCCTCTCCCGATTACGATTCCAATTGAATCCCACCACCGTTCACTCCAGAGATGAGAACGGAGACTTGTTTTCCAAGAGACGAGGCTGGATGCGACGACACGCAGACTTCTTTCCAAGGAGAAAGCCAAGAAATTCAAGTAATGCTAGAAATGCGTGTGAGGTTTGCATTCCACGCATTGAAGAAATTGATCCACGAACAAAGCAGGGAAGAAAGTGAAAGCACTTAATTTATTGAAAAATATGTACCGAGTTAAGTGAAAGCAGTGAAAGTGGTGGTTGTTGAGGACAAGTTGGTACAATCGTAAACTCTAAATAACAACTGGGCATGAAAATACACTGGCATAAGTACATATCTGTTATACGAATACATATGTGCCTATGTATGCATGTACATTGTATGTATAGCCAAAGACCCAATTTAAGTTACAGCCCTCTCAACCAACTACTCTTTTAATTCTTCAAGCTTTCAACTAGGATTTACCCTCGTCTCGACTCACAGTTGGTGATTCCATTGTTGTTTGTTACTGAGCTTCCTTAGTATTTCAAATTTTTTTAAGACTTGTTTAGGTTTCTAAAGTATATATATATTTTTTTAATTACATACCAATATAAAAATATGGGTACTTTTATATAGAAAAACGTGATCACGCATATGCGTGGATATATTTACAAATGGATCATGTAGATGTAGCATATATGAATGACAACCTATGTATATATGTAGCAGCACGTTGGAAACATTTGAAACCAGGAAATCTGTGGAAACTGATCAGATTTTTGACAGAGTTATTACATCGCAATGCAGAACTATGACCCAATGCAATCATTGTAACTCAAGGAATCTGTGACAGTAATAATGAGCGCAACACCATATAATGATACACAACGTGCAGATGAATCTCGAACCACGCATGGAATGAATGTCTCAATCACCACACACATAATAATGCGAACCTATTTCTCTATAAATCCAATTTACCTTTCTCCACGTCGATCCCCTCGTGCTCTGAATGCAAATCAGTTTCAAATGCAATATCACCGATCTCGATTGATTTGGTTATGTCAAGTCTTTCTTCAATACTGTGTTTGATTTCATTTTAAATTTTGCTACACACATGATACCAAAATATCCACTTTATTTCTTTGCTATATGTTTCCAAGTCTTGGTTTTCGCTATGCTATCTAAATTGGCAACTGATTATCTGTTCTTTTTTGATATTGCAGACGGAGATCAGCCGCCCGGAGCGTATTTATTGGATGGGAACGGAAGTGCTGTCAACGGACACAAAGGGTCGACTTTGGCCAAAAGTGTGACGGCCCCAGTTCTCAATTCTGTGAGTGAAGTGCGAAGCCCCAATCCGGAAACTGCTGGATACTACTTGGATTCTGCTCTTGACGCCATAAACGCCAAGGCTGAAGGAGGAAGTGGAGGAGCCGGGCACATCGTCTTCACCCTTCACGTCTACCAATACTCCATCGATAAGAATGGCAAGGGCGGTGAGTCGTCAATTGCGTTCTCAGATTCAATTTACATATCAGTTGGTTGGCAAATAAAATGTAATTCAATCCGCCCAGAAAGACCAGCCCATCGTCAAAAGACGAACTATCCGTCTTTCTTATATCCATTGTGAGAGAGGGTGAGAATAAGTTGGGCTCAATGTAAAACTGATGGATTGAATCAGTGAACAATATTTGTTGTAGTGTGGCTGCTGGAATGAGCATGAATTGAAATGAACTTATATAGGATTCGATCATGTAGACGAAATTCCTACATTCTGCACAAGACAAAGATACGCTATTACACATGTTTATACGTATTTGTGTGTGATGATCTTTGTCTTAAATTTTCAGAGGTTTTTACAATATTGAAAATAAATTACAATCCCATTGCACATTAATTCAGGCAGAATTACGATAGCCAATTGTGTTTGTATATTTACGATAGTTTAGATAGTTGAATGTACATAAGTTTGTATTATCGCTATCGTCGTTAGATGTATGGTTGGTCTACCAGAAAATTTGTTTTGTTTGATTTGATTGGTGTCAGAAGAGTGGCCAATGAGTAAGTGCTCGAACGGAAACCGTTGATGAATCGTTTTTTGATGGTCTTATTGTTCCAGTTGAATGATTCCCATTTCAATCTCATCACTTTTTGGGCCAACCAACACCATTATTGCCACCATCACCACCCTCTCACACACTCCTAACTTTCTATACCGTATATACCTAATACATAGCCATGCAGTGTTTATTGCCACTTTCACTTCTTCCATTTGTCCCTCATTGTACTCTTGTGTGGCTATTATTATACAGAACAAAAGAGCTAATTCACTCGCACTTATTTTGAAATTTTATTTTGTTCTCGGTTCCATCATCCATTGACCATTTCTATAAATTTTTCAGTTGTCGGAGGGAGAAGCAAATTGCACTGTGTTCTTCTCGGGAATGGGTCTCCTTCGATCTCGGTCTTGAGTGGACTCCTTTTGGCCGTCCTCAATGGTCAGCGTCATTTGCCTTCCAGGTAGGAAGTTCGACCAGTTTGGCCCTTGTAATTTGGGCAATCATTCCCTCCAACTGCTACTCTTTAGTAGACAAATTCGTGTAAAGTTGAGTTGTGTTCATGTTGTAAATTCAAGCGACAAAGTTGAACTGAAATGGGTTTTGACTGCCAAATGAAGTTAAGCCTGAATTAGAATACCAATTTCCCTACAAACTTCCACATCATCCGGTCATTTGTGAGCTTAACCAACCAACTACCCCCACTTCCCAGTCTATTTCGCTAATATACTAAAAAGCTGAGACACTTTCCAAATAAAAGCAAATGGCATTTAAAATTTAATAGTAGACACGAATTATTCATGTATAACAAAACCCTCACTTAAAATGGATATAGAATTTCAACAGCTCACTATCCCGATAAAAGGGCTTCCCACACAGCTCATTATTATCCGTAAAAGTCATCTGCCCATAAAACCCATCCGAATAACCTTTACCATTCACGCCGTCGTTTTCTGAACGACCAACTAACCGTAACCACTTTTGTCCGTGAGGTTTTCTCATTCATTCTCCCATTTCCCTCAAAACCGTAGATTTGATGGATGAATTTGATGCGTCATTGATAGAGCTTCGTGCGTTGATGAATATGCCAACTAATTTCGCGATGGTATATCTATTTTTTCAGCAATCATTCCAAACTGGGTGCTATCTTACGCGAATGTAAGTCCTTAATTCCATTACATTCCAAATCTACAACATTTTCATCTATGCAATAGATAATCAACGACAATAATCAAGTTTACTAGACAAAAATTATTCGAATTGATTTAGTTCTTACATTGAATTATTAGTTAAAGATGGGTTCCATATTATGTGGAGTGGTGGTTCAAATGTTGTTAATATGTAAAACAGGTCTGGGCTCCTTGACATGTCGAGCGGTTGTGATGATTCACATTTCCAACTCGCATTCCCGGTATGCAGAGACGCTGGCAGCCTTACAATTGGGTTCGAGGGTCCATCGTCTTCGTCGAAGCCGGAGGTTGAAGGTGAGCCTGCTTGGATTTCGATGAAAGACGTATTATCATTTTCCTTCCATGCAGTCCTCTGACAATGGAAGAATAATAGATGGACTGAAGGAGGCTGCTTTTTCCACGCACGTACTACAGATAAACAAGCAGACAGCCCTCATACGAGATCAGTTTAACCATGGCCAAATAGTAAAGCATGGTTGAATGAAATAGAGTTTTGGCCTCACCAGTATGTACTCTGCTTCTGGTCGTCAGGCTGCTGTCAGAGGAATGTGAAGAAAATGCGTAAAAATTGAGATGCGTTGGACAATGATTGAAGACGGAGAAAGTCGAGTCAGTCAGGAAGCGAGTGAGCCACAAATAAAATCCCAGAAAACAAAAAAAGTCTCCTCGGTCAGAGAAGAGCTAATTGATGATTGGAGTTTCCTCCTTCTGTTTTCATGTTGGTCTTGATCTTGCCTGATTTATTATTCCGGTCAGACAAAAGTCAAGAAAGGGAAAGAGAGAGAGAGAACAAAAGCGAAAAAAACACGTGTGTATGTATGAGTGGCAGTTGAACAGGATACTAAATTGGTGTCCTGTTTGGTTTGACTTTTTTTAGATGGGAAGCGTTGGGAGTGGGACGGGCTCTGGTGGAAGTTCTGGAGGATCAGGTGAAGAAATGCGGAACGGGCTTGGGACGACTAATCAAGTTGGCGAAGGCGAAACCAGTTCGGATATTGACCCCTCTTCATCAGAACAGTCATGTGATACCGTAATTTATTTAGGACCATCTATCGACGAGGCTACAGACGGGGAACACCCTCCATCCTACCCAGTCTATCTCCCATCGCTGGAGACCACTGAAAAGTAAGATGACAATAGTTGGTGGTTTGGCTGGAAAAACTTCTCCATGTCGAGTCGTACCCTACTCTTCCCACCCCATCCAGATTTGTTTCCTTCCTCCGTCGTTGCACTCACCACATTTATTTCTTATTTATGATAATGATTGAAAAGAATGAGTTGTTTGAAAATAAGCGTTTGGAAAATCGGGCGATTAATGGGTGGATAAACTGCATACTGCATCGCATAAGGGATTGGGCACGAGTGGGGAAAGTGGAACATTTACACGTCTGCAGAAGAGGGAGAGAGAGGGATGGATGAGAGAGACGCTGTGCTGCACTACCATGCGTTTCACAACCCCAGTCAGCACCACTAGTCACGACTTTCCCCAACTTTCCCTTCTCTCCTTTTCGTGTGCTTCATAATAATAATAGCTTAAATGCGCAGCTATCACTCGCGTAATCAATCCTAATGTTTTTTTTTCTCCTATTTCAGCGGATGCAACATGAAAATCATTCCATCCAAATGTCCCCCACTGAATAACGGCTCGTCTGTGAATGGGCCAAATCCAAAAACAAAAAGTCCAAAGCCAAAGTCATCAAATAAAATTTTGCCGGACAGCTCTTCTTTCGTCGCCACTGCTGCTTCTGGGTTGAATGGTAGTGGAGTTGGTGGGAACAAGTCCGAAGAGAAATGGGTTGACGGTCCTAAAGTTACAAAGTACCATCGTCAGCTACAGAACCACCTTCAGCCACCATCCTCTCCTAAAAAGAAGGGCGGCGGTTGTGAGACATGGGTGAGTTCACCATTGACCTCTAGTCATTAATCTATACTTGGCTATTGTTGGACTTGTACATATATCCCCATAATTTCAACGTAAAACAAATAGTGATTTGTGTCCAATTTCTGGGCGAATGATTGTTTCAGATCGACGGGCCAGGAGTTAATCATCAAGCCAACAACTTTCCAAGTCCGAAAAAGTCAGTCAACCAAGCCAAGGAGAAAGCTACGAGTCGAGGTGGAGGGGGGCTGGCAGCAGTGGGATCTTGCAGTAATGCTTCACCATCTTCCGACCCCTGTCTCATGACTTCCACGAAGGCTGAAATGATTCAAAAATGGATTTCCAACCAAACCCACTCGCCCACTTTCTTTGACGACATTTCAAAATTGGACGACTCATTCTTTGGGGGAACTAGTCAAATTGGGTCCATTTTCAGTGGACCACCTTCCCAAATTCTTCAAAATAAGATTGGTGGAAATATTCCATACTTTTTCAGCAACAGCAGCGGGGACGCACATTTTAATAGCTTCTACCCGGAACCTGAGTATAAGGCTCTCACCGTTTTCAAGACGTGCGACGAGGAGGATCCTGATGAAGGAAGAGATGAAGACGGATATGAATTTGAATTCATCGAGGTGGTTGAGCCGGAAGTTCCGGTTCCGACTAATGATGTCTGTCTTCAGGTATGCAGGCAAATCTAAATTAATGTGCACATATACGGGATAATATCTTACCAAAAAGTGAATTTGTACCTCCACCAAAAAATGTCTGATTATTATTCTTTAGGTGACGGAAGAAGATATTGCGCTAAGTTTCCTATTAGAAAATAGAGAAAATCCACTTCCGGAATCTGACCAGAATTATGTGATGAGCTCGGGAGGGTTCCTTGACAAATTTCGAAGTGCATCTTTCTCTGAATGCCCCGAGCATGTTTCTAGCTCATCATTTCCAACCCTTGACAAGTCTGACCACCCACTCCGTGTTTTAAGCCAGGAATGTCTCACTGTGGTGGACACATTCACAGGTAGCACCCACAATCCGTATCAATAATGTACTTAACTTGGTTCTAATAACAAACTAATAATTCTAACGGATTTCAGACTCCTTGTCAATAAGTGGAGGCGATTTGGAAAGGTTCTGGCAAAGTAACAACGGCTTTCACGATGCTAATCACAAAGATAATCATGAAATGAAAATTTGTCATGGCTTATGCAAAAATTTGGTGACATTGTCACAAATGTCCTTGGACAATCTGAATGACTACCCCTTGGAACCCCTCTGCATGCCCCTTACCCCCTTCACATTATCTCAACCGCAACCAAATGGCCCTCACACAAAGTGCTACGAAGATCAACCACCTTTGCAACACAAACCTCCCACAGGAAAATTGATCCTCAAAGAGCCGCCAGTCCTGAGCAGCAACGACGCCACTGTTTTTGTTAAGAGTCCTGGTCCACCAACACGACCTCGTATTTCATCACTAACAGTGCACAGCCGGAAGTCGACGGGGGGAAAGGACTTGAGTGACGCGGAGCAGGACGCAATCAGCATCCCTCCGATGGACCTTTTGGACGTGAATCAGATCAAGAACAATTGCCATCCTATGGACAATAACTGTCCAATTAAGGTCCAACCAAAGCTATCGGTACACCATCTTCACCACGTCAGTTGTGATCATAATCATCGTCAAAATGACCAGACTTTAAACATCAATAATGGAACTGGTAGTGGTGGACTCTTGTCGTCATCCAATCTGAATAACACAAATGCATCGTCATCAACACTAAATGGATCGGCTTCTTCGACTCTCAGCATTCATAGCAGCCTCCACCACAGCGACGCAACTCCCCCCCAATCCTTGTCCCCGGAAGTAATTCCAATCCAATTGCTTGAAACTAATGGGAAATCACCAAGTAAGAGTAAATCACGGAAAATTGCAAGATTTTTTCGATCGAGATCAAAATCTCCCAAGAAAGTTTTGGCTGCGGTGACCACCACGAGCAGCAGTGAGAGTGGCAAGTCTTCAGTTAGTTCTAGTGACGCCAAGCACTCTTCTTCCGCATCTTCGTGCTCCTCTGGAGTTTCGATTCCAGGTTCAACTACTTCGAAATCACAGAAACAACATTCCTCCCCCAAACATCAGTCTCCCAGTAAAAAACAACAATCATTAAAAAGTAAAGTTATTCATTCTGGTTTTGTGGCATCCAGTAACGGTGCGGATTATCATTTTACTTGCGACTCAGCCTTACCAATGTTTTTGCCAAATCCTAATCCCAACAGTAAAGTATTAAACTCATCAACCCTTGAAAATTGTAACAGTGGGATGATTAATGGAGACGGGTTGGAAAATTCAAAATGAATCGAGTCATAAATATATTACATAATCTTTAATGCGCATATTATGGATATTAGATAAGTGCTTTTGTCATAATTTTTAAAGTTTAGACTTTATGATAATCGCTATGAATAATAAATATCCAGTAATTTTGAAAATATGGTATTTATTATTGCTATTATTTATTCGTCCTTAAATGGCAGTTAGTTTAGCAGCAAAGGGCCAGGTTGAGCTCCACTAATTCTATGATAATAATTTACATACATACATACATACATATATATATATAACTATTATTCAATTCAAACAACATTGTCATACACACAAGTAAGTTCATACATGTTACGTATAATTTTTTGGGATTTCTTTGGGTGGGTAACAGTAAATACCACTTTCGGACTAATTTGAAATAAATGTGCTCAGTCTTGGTATTCATATGTAAGTGCAAAAGAAAAGGGTTTTCCGTGGTTGTTTCGGTGAAAGTGACTTATTGGTCGCATCATTCATTATATAAATATATGGTCTAAATAGCAGGTACAAGCTTGTGATGTATTATCATTAGGTCAACTGCATTTGCAGCAGAAAAGAGGCATTTGAAAAGCTCAAATTGCATCACAATAACAACTCTACAGAATATCACTAATAATAAAGGATCATGTAAACATCATTATACACGATTGATTGTACAGGGTAGTGGACACAAAATTAAAACAAAGTAGTCAGAAAAAAACTTCACAATAAAATACATTAACAAAATTACGAATTGATATTGGTTCACTAAAGCCTATCTAAAAATTAACGTGTATCCCAGCGGTAGAGCAATTGGTATGCGACGCAAGCAGGAGTTTCCGATTAGATATTCACAGGTGCTATCATCACGATCATCATCAAACATCATAAAATAGACGGGCCAGAGGATATCTTATGGCAAAAGCAACACAACTACAAAGGAGCTGGAATAAAAAGAAAGCAATCATTAAACTCTAGTTTCAACAAAATACTAATCATTTTAATAATCATACTTGAATCAATAAGATGATGATAGTTGTGCTTTGCTCGTGCATCGGGCCAAAAAATTTCAAGACTAAATTCACCAAAGTGAAATTGTTACATTCGATAAAATCTTTATTTTCTCCCAGATTTCTGGTGACTGCAAGCAAGCCCAAAGACTCTAGAATACTCACAGATGCCTGTTGAAAATAAAACATATTTCTGCATATGATAACTGTCTATGACACTGTCAACTGTTTGTTTTTATTCATTACCCGACCAAGGAACTTCAAGTCGCTTTCTTTGAACCTCACGGTGCTCATCTCAATATTATTTGTCACCTTGTTGTATCTAACAAATAGAAATACAACTCAATTAAAAATCATAATCTCCCATATTTAATAATTAGCTTGCACATACATATATGATAGTACATACCTTGGCAGGCGATGTCGAGGACATGGAACGAAACGGAAGACTTGAGGAACTAAACAACAAGAATTAATAAGATTGATTTTAAAATACCAACTATTTTATCTGTTAGTCATATCGTGTGCACAATAAATAAATTGTCATTACCTGAGTATACAAAATTTATAACCTGGAACATACAGTCAAATCATTTTAGTATGTATTATGTAGTATGTATGTAAACTCTGATTGTTTAGGCTTTAGTCACATGCCTGACATATTATGAGAGTAAGTAATACTACTAATACCTAAATACTAGGCAATGCCTACTAGGCATGAAAAAATTAGCAGTACTGCACTGTAAGATTGTCATCAAACACAATCTCACACGCAATCTGACAATTAGCACACGTAATCGAACCGCTGGATACTCACCTGAGGTATAAAAAACAAAAGCAGAGTTTTGCTAAAGTGCCCAAGAATCCCCACTATAAAAAAATTTGATTATTTTCTAACTGTTTGAATAGTGAGTTCATTTTTTGGTATTGTAAGTGAGATTTACCAGTTGCAAAAAGCATTCCTGAGAAGTAGCAAAAAGTATCACCAACGAAAACTTGAGCAGGATACCTAACCATTCAAATAAGAAAGATATTCTGATCAAAATACATTCGTGATCGTTGTACACAAAGAAGAAATTTACATATTTACATCATTTATCATGTAGGAAATTACCAATTATAGCGCAAAAGGGCGGCTGACGTGGCAATGAACGGCAGCAGTAGGTGAATGGAGAACATGTGTGGATGTGTCGAAACTTCGCCCATGAAGACTTCCACAGAATTAAAAATTAAAACTGAGATGGCAATCACAACTGACTGGCCGCACTCTAATCCATTGATCCCAGCCAATATGTTTATGGCATTTGTGGAAAATACCACAACCATTCCCATATAGAGATAGTACCCCCACCCTACAACAATAAACTAAAATTGTAATATATTATTTTTTAAATATGAAATATATGTATGACACAGGACGAAGTACAAATGCAATAATGCATACAGTACGTACACACCTAAATCTAGTGATTGTCCGAGTACAGGATGCAAGGGCTTGGGGACCATTACGAACGTTGTGTCAAACGTTGCATAGTAGACTAGAAGGATTGGAAGCGCTGCAATTGCCGGAAGTAGGAGTTTAACTCTCCACGGAACGTCCAAGACATCATCAGCAAATCCAAGAAGCAATATGCACGTCACTCCAAGTAATGCTGTTATATATTCCACCAACTAATATTAGTGCGCAAACAAAAGTCATCTTTTAGTTACAGTGTACAAACAATATATTATACAGCTTGACATTTCGATATAACAATGTTAAAATTAATAATTGACCTCGTGATGGGGAAAATTTTCCTTTTGTTGAATGAAATCTTGTCCAAATCTCGCTGGGATGAACAGAAACATGCATACAAGATACACACATCCGCACAAAACTCCAACTGCTTCCGGTCTATGGAGGAAATATTAGATCAAGGATATTATATACAAACTGATCAATGACACAGAAACCATAAGAGATATTCCAGTCTACGGAATGAAATAGATCGCTCTTAATAAATGCCTCTCACCATTAATTTACGCAACCAAGATTAAACAAAGGTAATGACCTAATGAAGTCAAATTGATGGAGACGGGCTACAAAAACAGCTTTATACTTACACTTCCGCTCCGGTAGATTTGCACAGATCAATTCCAAAGAGATTGGCCCGAACGAAAACATCACGAAACTTTGCAATAAGTCTGCATGTGACGAAATAAGCACCGACGCTTAGAAAGATTAAACACCACAAATCCGACGGCATGTTGGAAACAGGATAATGATTATCCGATAATCACCACAGAGGAGGATCTCTCTTTCTACGATATCTCAAACTCGCTTCTACATCTGACTGGTGGCCACTTCGGAGGAGTTATTTGTCAAGGTCACTACATACATACGAAATTACTGATAACGACACTTACGTGCACTCAATTTCATACAAAATGCAATCACTCACCCACTTATAGAAGCTTCCAAGTTTACGTACTTACTCCTTCTATTCTGCAAAACAGGAGAATAATTTTAAAGTCATTATCATAATTAAATAATGACGCTAGGACTAGGAGTCAGTGGGGGGATGGGTAATATGTACATGAAAATAAATCGAGAAACAATTTCAATTAAACTTTCAAGAGCACTGTAAAATTATACCGATTGAGTTGGAGCCTGATATTTGATTCCCCACCCAATTAAAATTTGATAGTTTATAACATTTTTACAATTCGATTACTGACTTCTCAGGTTAAGAATCCCAACTTAACCACGTATGCATTGCATGTGCAAATAATTTAATAAACAAAGTATGCAAAATATTATTATTACCTACTAAACTATATTCCAATCGCTAGCCCGATGTGTCCAAGCCAGGAAGATTGGCAATAACTTTCTTCCACTTTCTTCTACTTCATATTTCTAATAAGCAAAGCAGCAAGAAAGCAAATCCGAGTTCTTCCAGCCGTCCAGCCAGGCAGAGAGAGCTAGAAAGTCGACGTGGATTCAGAGAGGAGTAATTATGCATGGACTTTCTGCCCCAGCCAACCGCCACCAACCAACTTGCTCCCTGTCGTTAGGCTAGCTCCTCTCGTGAAAAGAAAGTTGCTGCATCCCCAGAAATATTATTATTTATAATAACCACTATTAAATATTAGTTAAATAAATTGCCAACCTTTGAGTATGGGTTCCTCCAAGAAGCACAAGGAGAAGGACAAGGACAAGGTGAGAGATCGGGAGGAGAAAAAGTCACGTCATCGAGGGGACGAGGACGACTCTTTGTCGAAAAGTTCAAAGAGAAAGCACCGGTCGAGGTCAAAAAGCCCATCGTCCCCACCACACGCATACGGGGACGATTCCCCCCCAGCGGGCAAGGATAAGGAGCGCGGTCGCAAGAGGAAGCACAAGGAGAAGAGGAGACATGGAGGAGGGGACTCGGAAGGTGAGAGGATTTATGGAGATTTCTATTATTCCTTCGACTATTTTTATTATTATGCAATTACGTTTAGAGGGTTGATCTTCGTTACATTTATGCGTCCCATTCTTTCTTGCTGTTCAACTTAGTATAAAAACAGTTTAATTCTGAATTTCTTTAAATTGTTACAGGACTTGAATGCGGATTACTGGGGAAAGAATTCGAGTTTCATTACCCGGTGGACCTCCTACTGCCCTGTCACTTTCTCCTTACTTGAAATTCTTTCCCCAGTTCTTTGGATCTTCAGATGGTAAGTGTAATACCAAAGCCAAAGGTCGAGAAGCCTTACAGTTTAGTGTATTGCATTCAGAGACTGGTCAATCCCGGATTAAGGATTAGGGATTGAGATTAGGATTGGGGATTAATTAATCCTCAATCTCAATCTTTAATCCCAAGTTCTAAAATTTTAATCCTTAATCCCTAATCCCCAATCCCTCTGTCAACTTTAATCCTAAAGTGGGATTAGAATGGGATTAAAATGGGATTAAATTTACAATGACTGAAAAATCGAAAAGCCAAACTTCTCTTAAGATCGCTCCTTTTCCAAAATTGATTGCATTTCGTTCATTTTTTTCACATATTTAAAATACTACAAATCATTTTGCAAAACTACTCGTAACGTGGTATCCTCAATGCACAATGCAACATTGACGTGGGCTTATAAAGAAATGTCAGTGCTCTTCCAAAATCTGGTCAAAGTTTTTCGTTAAAAATAGTACCTAGAGTAAAATTAGCATCTTTCCCGTATATAATTTTTAGTGCAAAAAATATTTAATTGTTAAAAATTTTATTACTAAACGATCTAATTTTGCATGGGAAATGTTCTTAAAACATATTTCTTGTTCCGAAGTCCAGATTCATTTAATTAATTTAAAAATCTGTCATAATGAAATTTAATGCAAACAATTAATCCAGGACTAAATTAATTCCCAATCCCAGAAAACTACCCAAAATTTAATCCCATATTAATCCCAATCCCAGATTAAATTCAATCCCTAATCCTAATCCTTAATCCCAAAATTTGAAAATTAATCCTTAATCCTCAATCTCAATCCCAAGATTTTAAAATTTAATCCTCAATCTTAATCCTTAATCCCGATATCTTTAATCCGCCAGTCTCTGATTGCATTGCATCTTACATATTTTATAGCTTATAAAGTACATAGTTTATAGATTTTGAAAATTATAATCGACACTTTGCGATGCTAAATTGTGACATGTTTTGGTTATTTCAGATTCTGACGTCCCATTGTCCAAAGCATCCAGACATGAAGAAAGGTCACCGTCTCCTATCGAGAAACCTTCAGGAGATGGATCGGTTCTTTCCATTCACGAGACGAATAAACTTCGAGCGAAACTGGGATTGAAACCTCTTCAAGTAGATTCCGGACCCCCACCAAGGCCACAACCTCCACCCCAGAAAAGGTCAGGCAAGCCAGAGGATGTGGAAGAGGGTGAAGCAGAAGAGGAGTTTGACGAAGAAACACTTCGCCGTATTCGTGCAGAAAGAGAAAAGGAAGGCGAAACGTTCTGGAAAGAAACACAAGAATTTGTTCACGCCCCAGCTGAAAATTTAACTGCAAGGCTCAAGTCGGACAAATTGAAGGATAAACTGACTACTATGAAAGAAAAGCGCAAGTTGGAGACCAAAATGTTACAATCCAAAGGATTGGCTGACTCGGATGAGGATGATGATGCCCATGCTTGGGTTTTGAAACAGAAAACATTGGCTGAACAAAAGGCTCTAGCAGCAAAAAGGGTACGCATCATACTCATTATAAATTTCTAATTCGCGATTGAATCCAGTATTAAATCCAAATAACACAAGTTGTAGTGTCATTTGGCTACATCTTATAATAACTTTTGATATGGTTCATTCTACTAGGCAAAGGAACTTGATGAGCTGGACACAGAGTTTGGACTTGGAGAAGTGGTTGAAACTGCATTTGTTAAACATAAAAACAAAGCTTACACAGAGAAGGATTTGAAAGGAATGAAAGTTTTGCACGATCAGGTAAGTAATAATAGTTAATTAGGTATTTAATTATAGCATTCAAATTCCGCCTTTGGAATTCAATTGCGTCATGTTTCCAATTATTTTATATATAGTCTCGAATTCAAGACGGTGGTCAAGTGATCTTGACATTGAAGGATAAAGGTGTGCTGGACGAGGAAGATGATACGCTGGTGAATGTCAATATGCTTGATGATGAGCGATATGACAAGGTATATATATATATATATATATCACACGAAATTATAATAAGCTTGTAACATTTACATGCATCTAATATGTATGTGTTACAGAATGTCAAAAATAAACAATTACGACCAGAATTACATGGGTACAATGCCCTCGATGAAATTGAATACGACGAGTCTGGAAGCTTAAAAACAAAAAGTCTTCTTGGGAAATATGATGAAGAAATTGGAGGACCGGAGCGACAGAGCTTCGTAATCGGGCAAAATATTTCAGAAGAAGCCAGAAAAGCACAAATACGAGAGAAAATGAAGAGAGCAGATAAAATATTAGAGTCAGTGGACAGTGTTTCTTTAAAAGTGATGTCAGATTTTTATTCACCTGAGGAAATGGTTTCCTTCAAGAAGCCAAAAAAGAAGGTTTGTAAAGAAAAACACTTAATTGGTTGGCGTTTCTTAACATATCATTTTTTATTCAGGTAAGGAAAGTACGAAAAGTTCTCCGTGCTGATGATTTGCTGAAATTGGATGCGGATGGAAACAAAGCACCAGCCGGCGTTATCAACCAACGCGACTTGGGATCGCGTAATAAAAAATCACATGCTGCTACAGCAGTGAAAGAAGAACCAATGGATATGGAAATTGATTTAGAAATTGACGACTTTGCAGTTCGTAAGTGAATACAAAATAGTACCGAATATCAAAGATGCTACTACATATGTACTATATTAGAAGCATTTGAAACATGTCATGCAAATTTTATATTTACAGCTACTGAGGTTGATATATCAGATGTCAAATTGGAGGATGAAGCTGACATTGACTTTCAACGCGCATTGCACAAGGCCAGGAAAATGAAACAAAAGCAACTGGCCAAGCCCAAACCTAAGGCTAATGTGAGTACAAGTCGACATATACATATTGTGCTGTGATAAAAATTACTTGTATGTTTCGTTTGATAATTTTGGATTAGTTGCTCATGTGTTTTTAATGAAATTAATAGGTTGGAGAATTACTATTGCGAGAACTGGAAATAGCCAGTGAAGCAGAGAAATCAGATGCAGGATCTATTGTTCTGCACGCTACTGCTGAATTTTGTCGTACTTTGGGTGATATTCCAAGTGTTGATGCAGGGGACTTATACGGGGACGAGGAAATGGTATCAAACCACAAATGTTGAATTATTTTATTTTAACCATCTATCTACTTATGCTTATTGTGAATCGGGGTATGCTTTTTTGTAGGATTTTGAGCAAGAAGAAAAGTATCAATCTGTGTCTGAGGAACGGGGAGCTTGGAATGAAGTCGATATTGGTACGATTTTTAAGTCTTAGTTTACAATATGATTTATTAAAAACCAACGTTATATCAAACTTTTAACTGTGTTAAACATTCATTGTGTTGCAGACGAGACACCAGTGGACATTACCCGTATACCCGATCAAGAGGAAGTAACAATCTTGGAGCAGGAGCCTGATGTTGGCGTTGGTCTTGCCGGTGCCTTGAAACTGGCTCACAAGAAAGGATTCTTAGAACAAGAGAAAGTAAAGCGAGTTGGAGCTACGACAATGAAACATCTTGAAGCCAAGCATTACACTATTGAAGACAAGAACTATGAAGAGGAAAGAGTTAGCAAGCGAGACATGTACTTTGGTCCTACGTCCGATTTCAGAGAAAAAGACGGTTATAAGCCCGAAGTGAAGTTGGAATATAATGACGAGGATGGGAAACCAATTTCAGCAAAGGAAGCTTTTCGTTTATTGTCGCACAAATTCCACGGAAAAGGTTCTGGTAAGAATAAGATTGATAAAAAACGCAAAAAGAACGAGCAGGAGAAGCTTATGCAACACATGAACTCTACGGATACTCCATTGAGGACCGTCGAACTTTTGCAACAAAAACAAAAGGAAACTCATTCAGCATATTTGATCTTATCTGGAAGCAAGGCCCATGATATGCTTCGTAAAAGTAAACGTTGAGTAATGTTCGGGAGAGTTTCTTAGTTTGAAGTTTTTTTAAAAATATGTATGATATGATAGTAATACAAAATTAAATGAATACTACTATTGAATAATAATATGCGTGTGTAGTATGTGTATTTTATTTGGTTCTTAACATGACTTACAAATGTGCAAACCCCATCATCACAGCCTCATATAAGCAGTCGTAATAAATTAACCTAGAGATGAGAGGAAGATTGGAATTTCAGTATCAAATTCAATTAGTTCCTCCACAAGGAGCACACGAAAAAGTTGGTATTGGTTCTCCACAATCTTCATTATTCTCGCCTTGATTAGCGAAACATTTTTGCGCTCCTGGTGCGCACTTGTGCTGATTCCCCTCCGTGTAAGTGATGCTACAAGGCTGAACGTAAACGGTGACAGGCTCTTGTGGACCACAGGGCTCCATTTGTTGATTGCATTTTTGGTCGGGCTGCGGACAATAGTTTGTGTTCTCATCCTCTGTTTGTCGAGGGTGTTGAGGGCAAGCTTTGTTCTCGTTGCAACAGCAACAGACGGCAGGCAAGGAACACTTGATGTTGGGACATACGTCGTCCAAAAAGGCTCGATAATTTACGCACAGGATTTTCATGGGTGGTTTCGGTTCCACCCATTTCATGACGCACTGAAATCAGTTAAATAATTAGGAATATCAAGTCACTTAAAAATACTCCGAGGATATTATACATACTTGATTAGCTGCAGGCTTTGTAATTGGGGCAGCATTCATTTCCCAGTCCAAGAATTTTAGAAATTGACAGTAATCAACACGGTTGCACAAATCATCGTCCGGTGCAGGGAACCTTTACAGAGAAACCCTTATAATATGCATACGATTGATATACTACACACTAATTTAATATGCTAGAAAATTATTTATAGAGTTCTCATACTTGTCCACCATGTAATCCAACAATTCCTTGAAAAGTGGCAATTTTGCTCCTTTCAACGTAGCTCTTAGCGTCTCTCTGTCAACTCGCCCAGTCCGACAAGGGTCGTGATACCGTAGGGTATATTCAACTCTGGCTAAGAGTGTCCTGTCAAAGTGGAATCGCCTCAGTTCCGTTTGCGCCACGGCTCTGCAAGAGAGAGAGAGAAAGAAAATTACTATCTGTATGTACTCAATTACGAGAATGTCCACATAATTTGTTTTTAAATATTGGATCATGTAATTACTGAAGGGTTTGAAAATCAGTTCCGGGAGGTTCACTTTTGGCAGCATAGCATCGAGTTAGCGTCAAAAGTTCATGTTCACTCAGGCCGCATTTTGAAATTTGAAGCAAAAGGGATCGAAAGTTCCTGGTATCCATCACCCCTTGAAGGCAAGTATCATGCTCGGAAAAGCATTTCAGGACGTCTTCTCCTTGCAAAGGCCCAATCGCTTCTCGGAATTTTTCCAGACAAACGCAAATGTTGGCGTGGGGAAACTGAACGGGAATAGAAACATAAACACTATTATTTGCAGTCATATTTACTTGGACTTGCACCATGTATGTCTCCAGTTATTATACATAAACAGACTAACGAGGTGCTTGTTGGCTTCCATGTAGCATAAAGAAAATTCATCAGCATCAATCAACTGAAAACTGTATCCATTGATGTTTATAATGTTGCCAACATAGAGGTCTTTAGGCGCATAGAATTCTGGGTCGTTGCCAATTTCTGGTTGATGACCAGGTTTCTTGACGCGATTTCGAAGCAGAAAATTCCCCTTTGGCAATCCTAGCAAATTAAAAATTGCATGCACACAGCCGTTAGTTTTTTAATAATGTTTATTATTGAACTACTGACTAATACTTAGAAAGCGTCATACATTACGCATTACACACATTTTATACGCACCTGAGTTTGGATGTTCTTTTTCAAATACTTGGATAGTATCATCGCTCATGTAGTAGTTGATGACGAACCGACGCGACTTATTTACCCCTTGCAAGGCATTATGAAACTTGGCTTCAAAGCGAATAATGTCTCTGGAAAATGACACCTTTTTAAAAATAGTGCTGATGGATATAGTGTGTGTAGTAATAAATAGGATAGTTGTTTGGTCACTTTTCAAATTCTGCTTGCTTGCGGTAATCTTTTACATGAGCTTTCATTTCCAGGCTCTTCCACATCCCGAGATCATCTTCCTGACCCCAACCTAAATATGGAGGTGGTTTGGGAGCCGGAATTTCCCGTTCTAGTGCTTCATTTAACTGCAAGGGCGTAAAATCCTCTAGATAAGTAACAAGTAGTTCATGGTTAATTTGGACCACACTGCAGTTCACGCAATTAATTATGTATGTATTAATATGATTGAACTGACCAACTTGGTATCGGTCTTTATAATATTGCTTAGTAAACTCGTCGCATGTTGTCAAGATGAACGGGCGTCCATAAACATTTAAGACAGCTCCAATTGACAAATCATTGTCTTTGTAAAAGTCACTGTCATTTGAAGAACTTCCCAAATTGTCCACCATAAAGTGTGCCTTTTTATTTTTGGTTCCATACATTGACCCAAAAACGTTGAGAATTGTCAAAGGGGTCTTTTCTCCCGGAAGTCCAACCAAGTTTTCAGGGTTCTGTAATATAAAATCAAATTAAATCACAAAAGAAATGTCAACCAAAAATGAGCCAAGCAACAATAACCAGTTCATACTTTCGTACTTAATATTTACTACAGTGTGTATACGTACCTTTGGAATTTTGCTTCGCCGAAGAAATAATGGGTACGCTTCATATCCAGAGTTAGGGCGCAATATCTCCCGGATTTCCATTGTGTCATCGCCCAAAAAGTAGTGGATGATAAACTGTCGAAGGTCTCCATACAATTTACAGCGGTCGTCCCAATACGACCAAAATCTGAGAACATGATCAGAATGACGGATAAACGGCCCACGCGTATCAACAACGTGGTGTGGCTTCCTAGCAAACTGGCTCGTCTTTCTCTGTAATTAAATTTAAAAAATGGTTACCAACTTAATTTCTTAATTTAGTAGTTATACTAAATAGGGTACACGATATGTTTTTATTATCTTCTTACATCAACGAGTTTCTCTGTAGCAGGGTCCACGGGAAGTTCCATATTATGCGGCACTGAAATTCCGAGCCGATTGAGAAATTTTCGAGTGAAGCCATCACAGCCGCAAATGAAAAACACTTTTCCATACAAAGTGACTTCGCAGCCAACGTTGAAGTGCTCCAGGGTAAAGTATTGGCCCTCGCAAGGCGACGGAAGTGGTATCCGGTGGCGTCGAACAATCTGTCCTTGCGGAATTCCCGAATTGTGAGTTTTTGGCTCAATCACTTGTACAGTGTCATCCTCCAAGAAAAAATAGAGTTTACACTGGTGAATCCGATAATTTTCCATCCCTGACTCTGGGATAGGCTCTTGATAATATGTATCGAATGTTAGGACCTGTTAAACGTCAGATCATGATTTTAGTCAAAAGCCACTTTTCATAGTTTATCCATGCATATACTCGTATACATGTGTACATATTTGATATTATTCACTCTGTCTATCAGTACATAGTAAGATTTGTAGCAATGCTTACTTTCTTGTCAAACTCCAACCACGTAGGCTTTCTGGACATTCCGTGACCTCGGGGAAAGACGGAATGGTCAGGTCCTGTCCTGACAGGGGCCCACGGTGGTGGCAAAATACCTCCAATTCCAGGTCGTGTGCGTGGTTCGGGAGTATCCAATCCTATCCCAGCTCTTGGTCGATACCCTTCGACCTCACTAATTATTCGGACATCTTGGTTGAACCCCCAATGACCTGGTCTTTGGAAACGGTCCGCTCCAACCTGTTGTGAACATACATATCCATACTCATTTTTGTATTCAGTGCATTCTAAAAAATCATACACTGTGTGAAGGGCTTACATTCAAATTGAAGCTGTATCCTGGAAGACATGGCAAACTCTTGGCCAGAGCTCGATCCAACTGACCTCCTTGGTATGTAGTTTGAAAATTCATGCTTCTGCAATACAGAAGAAGCAAGGTGACAGTTAATAATTAGTAGTTGGTAGCAAGTAAATTAACCCTTTTATCTAGGACAACCTTATTAGTTTTGTTCACCTCAGTTTGTGGAAGAATTATGCATCGATTTCTGAGCGTCACTAGATAAAAGTCAATGTTTTGTCAATAATTTCCACCTCGCCGTCTCCTTGTGCTGTAAAAAAGACAATTGAAAAGTCGAGGACTTACTTTTGCAAGGATATTCACATTTCATTCCTCTGGTAACCCTAAATTATCATGATTTTCATGATGAGAGAGTTTTGCATAAGTCCACTTGCACATGTTCATGCAGGCATAAGAGGACAGACTGTTGTTGAAAACTTCAATTTTCTCGGCCACCCCCACACCGATCTGCACCAAACTTGGTGGGTGGGGTCTCCATGCTGGTGAGGAAGATGTGGTGTGGTCAGAAAGTTGGGGTTTGGTGGGGGGGTTGAGCAAAAAGGTGTAAAGTTGGGGCCGGGTGGGCTCGAACGGAGGGTGAGGGATAAATAGGAGTAAAATCCTTATGTCAAATGGCTGGGAGTTGTGGCGCACTCCTGTAATCGAGCTACTTCGAGGCCGGTGTGTGTGGATGGCTTGAGTCGGGGAACAACTGGGTGGTGGTTGGTTACGTTGATTGGGGGCCCTAGCTGAGCTGCGAGTCAATATGGTTGCACGAGAGGAGTCTTGTGTATCCAGGTTGGTTGAGGATTGCCGAATCGGGCCAGGGGTGAAAACCAGCAGCTCAAAGGCAACGCTTTCAGTAGCAGCGGGATGACTCCTGAGAGTGCCTCCATCATTCAGCCTCGACAATATAGTCAGACCACAAACCAAATTTTTTGCATCTTTCTTTCATGCAACTTTTTTATTTTTGCCTCAAGTTTTGCATAAGAAATAATTTATTGTATTTCTCTATTACATGATGAAATCATTCATTTAAAATACCAAATTTTTGCATCTCAACCTATGAACCATTCACTAGTCGGTCACACCAACTTTCATGATGCAGCCAGCTCAACTTTACATTTTCATGTCATGAATTTAATAGATTTTTTAGTGGATCAAAAAACAAGACGGATTTAAAATTTTGGTTAATCAAAGTTGATAAAAAACGAATATGGTCTTTATTTCATAAAAATATACAACTCTTCTCTATATTCAAGTTACTGTCAAAATTTATAAAACAATTGTGAAGTCTGCTTAAATTTAAACTAAAACTTGACCTCTGAGGCATTCAACATTTCCTCCATGTTTGCATTTGGATGGGCTCGTTGAATATGTGTCTTTAAAGACCCTTTGGCTACAGTTTTAAAGGGACAACTTGTACAGACGAAGGGTCTCTCCGTGCAGTGCGTATACTTGTGAACATCGAGGGAGTTTTTCTGATTAAAGGTACAACTGCAAATGTCACACTTGAAGGGCTTGATCCCTGTATGGACCGTCATGTGACGATTGCGAAGAGAAGGCTTTGCGAATATCTTGTCGCATATTGGACATTGTTTGTTGTTCGTAGGCTGAGGTTGAGAGACCATCACAACGTTGTTATCTTTGGCATCGCCTCCATTATCATTACTCCCATTACTTATTTCTTTAGTTGTTGTTATCATTGAGCCATCTTTGATGTTGCTATTAGGTAATGACGATGATGACGATGATGAAATTGCTGTTGAGGTGGACGATAGCATTGGGGAATTATTGACAACAACATTGTTTGAGCTAAAGTGAGCGAGTCCGATCAAATTGTTGTTTGCAGGAATAAGTGTTTCCAAATCAGACATTGACACAATTGAGGTAAGCGAAGTTTGTTGTACTTGATGATTTTGTGTGACAACAGTTGATGAGGATTGCTTCACTTCAATATCCATGTTCTGCTGCATGCCTTGCTGATTTTCAACAATATCTGAGTCGGTGTGAATTGTAACTCCAGGTCCGATAAGGTTAACGTTACTCAGATCCGCAGCGGTGATAATCTGGTTGGTGTGTGGAGCTACAAATATTACACTTCCAAGACTTTGAAGTAATTCTTCGCTGATTTGAAGCGTACTAAGATCTAGGCCTCCCAAATGAATATTTTGAACTTGTGAGCCATCCATTGAGACTTGAAGACTTCCTATTATTTGAACAGGGTCTTGCATAGTAGATGATGATGAACCTTGATGAACGACGCTTTGTTGTTGTTCTAGTGTATTTACTGTGTATATTGTGTGGTGATCTTCATGGTTGACTTGGTGTTGTTGAGATTGTGGGTTATCAACAGACCCAGAAATTTCGAGTTTCTCCTTGATAGTTTGTACCGGTGGAAGTATGGAAGTAGGAAGTTTGCGAGCTCCAATATTTTTATTAAACTCTTTGGACGTCTTGAAGTGTGACGAAATGTGGGCTTTGCGATGTCCTGAAGTGCGAAATGTGCGTTCGCAGTGCATACATTTATATGGTCTCGATCCGGTGTGTAGCCGAAGATGCACACGCAAACTACTTTTCGTTGAAAACAGATTGTTACAGACATGGCAGGCGACTGTCTTTCCCCCTTCATGTGTCCTCATATGAGCTTCTCTCGTTGACTTGACACGAAATGCTTTTCCACACGCAGTACATCTATTAAACATAGAATTGGAAAAATTCAGATAGAAAAAAAACAATAAGTATGATCGAATAACTGAGATTTTCATTTTACCTAAACGGCTTCTCCCCAGTGTGAATTCTTGTATGGCGAACTAAATCAGACCTGCAGATAAACATACGAAAATTCTCAGTGTTGTAAAACCCAATGCAAAGCTAAGTTAAAGCATCCGACAAACAATGTTTATTACCGTTTTTTAAATCCTCTTCCACAATGCGTGCAGATATTCATTTTTCCCTTTTCTAACTCGCCAAAATTATTCAGTAGCAGCTCTGTCATATTCACTTGCACTTCTGTTGAGGCTGCGGTTTGCATCTCATTGTATATTTGTTGTGATATTGGACGAGAACTGTCTCGAATTTTGCTGATTTCATCATCACAGTCCTCTGAAGTAATAACAGTTTGAACAGTTTCCACATGAAGAGGAATATCTGATTCGTCATCATTATTTTTGTCGCCAGGATTATGATTAGCGTCTTCTACTCTGACAAATGTAGCAGGTTGAGTGAAAACCGTAGGACGCGTATCTGTATGTACGGCTGATGATGATGTAGTAATTAGGGAAGACAACGACACTACTGGTAAATCAATGTGGGTGGATCCATGCTAAGAAAGGATGAATAAAAGTAATTGTATTAGCTATTGTACTTACGAATAATTCAAAAGTAAAAAAATAAGTGGTATCACCTGCAGCGTAAAGATAGAATTTTCGAACGATTGGGCATCTGCGAGTGATATATGAGTCACAGCGTCGTCAATGGATGAAACGGAATAATGAATAAGAGGTTGAGAAGTTCTGCTGTTGCGATCATCTCCAAAATGCACACTGCTGTTGTTCATATGAACCACATTAGATGACATACTGTAGATTTTCTTTTCTTGATGCAAAAGGTTGTCTGACAAATCTCCCGTGATGCATTCATAGGTTGTTGAGGGCAAGGAACTTTTATTTGGAGGCAGAACTGGTTCAAACAGTTTGGTACGACCATCTGGTTCGACATTTCGGTTTGGGATGTTAGACGCCCCTGAATAAGATAGAAAAAATGATAAATATTATAAATAATATGTGTAATAACTGCATAATATACATAAAATGATTATTTAATTTATTCAATTGTCGCTTTTGAGATAATTCATACATTCACCTGTTCTGGAAAAAGTGTGACCATTTCCCTCGGAAATGTTTTCTTCCTCGTTACTTGCTAAATCATCATCTTCTTTTTGCTGGTGAGCTTGATTTACGCTAATCTGTTCAGCACCGTTGTTGTTATCGTTTGTGTTGTTGACTTGATTCTTGTCAGGATCCCTTTTGGTATGGAGAGCAACGAATTCACTTCGATGCGTCTTAATGTGTTTTCTACAAGCTACACTAGTTTTGAAACCCTTGTGGCAGTATGGGCAAATGAATGACCTCTCTTCTCTGTGAGTCGCCATGTGTCGAGTTAAACTCCCATTTGTAGTAAAGGACAATTGACATTCTTTACATTTGTATGCACGCACTCCTTCATGGGTTTTGATATGATTCTTCAATACACCACTAGATATGAAGCTTCTGCAATTGCACAAGAAGTTGAAAACATTATTTCGTACAACTAAATAGGAATACAAATAACGACCAATCAACAATAAAATATATATTATACTAAGATAACATAAATGATGGCAAACAAACCTAAAACATTGGAAACATTGATACGGTCTTTCGCCAGTGTGTGACCGCTGATGCTGTTTCAAATGGGAGGATTTTTTAAATCCAGAAGGACACATGGAACAACGATAAGGACGACATTTGGGGTCCTGACCAGCCTCTTGTGTAACAACTGACTGGATAGATCGACTAGGGACAGGTATTAACCCAGCGGAGGTAATTTTTAACGGGTCCGAAAGGTCAATTTTAGGTCCAGTGTCACCGATACGCAAAAGACGTCTTTTCCCAGTTAATCCTTGAGAATTCCGGGAATGCACTCTCATGTGAACCCTACGTTGAGATGATGTTCTAAACCATTTGTGACAAGAAATGCAGGAAAAAGGTTTGGCACCCGTGTGTCTGAAAATATGATAAAAATTCAAAATAAAATTTTACTCAAAGGGAAATACATAAATGCTTCATCGTGTTATGGTCATCGTGATTTGAAATGCAAAAAAAACAATTAATCAACTCACACTCGCTCATGTGCTCGAAGAGAAGTTAAGACAGTAAATTTTTTATGACAATCTCGACATTCCCAGTCTTTTTGGTCGGCATGTGTCTTCATGTGGATGGATAATGTCGATTTCACTGAAAATGATTTCCTACAAATTGTGCACTATCACATATCACAGAAAATCAGTTACTAATCTCAAGACAAATTATTAAAATATATATGTACACACGTATTAAAACTCATTGACACTTACGACATATGGTCGCTCTTGGGTATGAATTCGAATGTGACGTATTAAATCCGACGGTTTCTTGAATGACTTGTTGCAATCATATGGACAAAGATGAAACTTGTCTTGACCCACTCGCTTAACTTTAACGTTATACGCTGTTCGTGGAATTCCAGCAGCCTCATGTATCACACTGACCTCGGAAATGGTAGGCAGAGTATCATAAGAAATGTTTGTCACTGGATTAAAAACTAATTGTTGTTCTTTAGCTTCCAGCGACCCAGACGATGATGCCGAGATCAATGAAGGGAGGATTGGCGGCATCCCAATAAACATAACTCTAGGCGAATCTGTATTGTCATCAATGAGTTCACCACTGGGCTGTTTTGTCTTCTGTTATACAATTATACAATTTACAAATAATACATCATGCATTAAATTATTTTAGTATGCTCAGTCTATGCGCCCTTACTGAATGAACTTTGGCAATGTGGGTGTTCAAACTCGCCAATTTCTTGAATACGCAAGAACAGTCTTCACATTCGAAGCATTTTTCTCCATTTCCTGGGTGAATATGGACTTTTAAAACATGGGCACGGAGATTACCACGTTGACTAAATTGACAATTACAAAGATGACAAGTATGGCTGCAAACAAAAAAAAATATTTAGGCCTATGTAATGCTAAAAAAATCCAGCAAACAAATAATAATTACGGCTATACTGTACTTACGGTTTCAGCTTTTCATGCATTGATAATATGTGACTGTCTAGTGTGTTCTTTTGGTTGAAACTCCGGCCACATTGGTTGCACTGTCACAACGAACAATGGTCATAATAATTATAATTAAATAACATTGTTAGTAAGTACTTATCATTTATTAATACCGAATAAGGCTTTTCTCCAGTGTGAATCCTCATGTGCCTGGTAAGTTGACTAGGTTTTTCAAACCGCTTGGAACATATAGAACAATGCAACTTTTTCTTGTCCTTGATTCTTGATGATCTACTAGCAGCACTAGGTTCGTGACTCTCCTGGTTATCTGTAGTCTCTGTCAAGCCAGTCTTGACCTGCGGTTGAACAACGGGTCGTTTTCTCCTAGGGTTTAGAAGTTTCAATTGGTTCCGGACGGCAGAATGTTCTTTGGAATGACACTAAACATATTTAAATTTTAATAAATTTTTAATTGGATTATATACTTATGTACAACCACAAGCTTACTCTATATCGTCCCTGTTTTGGATATGCCCAATATAAACTTACTCTTAAAAGTGAAGCAGAAGCAAAAGAAGTTCCACATAGTTTACACCTATAAATCAAAGAGATGGTGGTCTTGTGCTCCTCTAAAAAACATCCACAGAGAGACAGTAAATTAATTCCAAATAATTAGTGAAAATAGTTATAAATATTAGTATTTAACTTTATTATTATTTTACCTAGATGAGTATCTAGTCGTGCTTTTGTAGCAAATTCATCCCCGCATTCCGGACACACTTGATTTTCTTCTTTTTCATGAACTCGAACATGGCTTCTTAAACTTGCCAACCTTGAAAATTTTGCAGGACATATTTGACACTCCAGACATCCCGAGATCTCTGCTTCGTGTATACTTTCGTGAAGTTTCAAATTAATTTCAAAGTTAAATGACATTGAACACAGTAAGCACTGAAATGCTTTGGCGTCTAAATGTTCTGACTTGTGACGTTTGAAATGAGACCATGAAATTAACACCTTATCACATTCCTGACACTTATAGGGTCCTCTATTTATTGGTTCTGCCGTCGACAATTCTGTGAAACATTCTGGCTGCTGATTTTCAATTTCCGTCCCATTGCTAGGAGGTTTGTTGCTGTCATTATTAATACCGCTACTTCCCTGTTGTGTTGCTATATTTCCAGAAATGTCGTTATAATTTGAATTAATCTCTGTTGTTGAAATCAACTTGGAGATGGACGCAGTCGTCGTTGTAATACTTCCCCTTAATGATGATGACGATAATGACGACAAGGTTTTAATGGAATTGTTCGGATTCGTTAAGTTTACGGACGATAAGGTTTGTATAATTAGTGGCGGTGGCTCTGTAGAACCAGATGTTTCACTCAGATTTGACGATGATACTTTGTACATCTTATTATTCTCACTTAGAGGCATCAAAGGTACCTAGAATAGATTGACCATATTAATTGGTTAAATAAATATGAGTGTATCCGTCGTACATCATTTTTTTAACTTACGGCGGACTGGACTTGTCCTGCTACTGGCAAAAGACCTCGGTGTCGTGACGGTGCTCCCACAACAGCCTGCTGCTGTTCTATCTGAACACCACCAAGAAGAGCAGCAAACTGAGCAGGGTCCAGAACAAGTGCTCCATTGTGGTCCAGGATCCCTTTGAATATGACTTGACCACTTTGCTCAAGGTTATCGAAAAAGGACGGAGCAATTCCAGAGTCGATCACTGCACCTACTGACGACTCGTTCAAAAAAGTTCCTGTTGGGACTTGCTGTATTTCAAACGTCACATTTGATGACGATGACGACGAGTTACCCCCGCCTGCTAATTGTATGGTTGAAGTTGTCACATTATGGTGTTGTTTATTCTGGGGGTCATTTTTCATTGCCACGATCTCGTAGTCGCTGGAATGACGGCCAGAGTGGTCCGTGCTCACAAAATGTTGTTCCATTAGGCTAAATAATTCTATATTTAAAACAGTATTTCTGTAATTATTTTTAGTTTCCAATAATTTCCAGTTATTATTTTTTAATTCTGATTCAGATTCTGAAATTCGGAATGTATTATTTTTTTACCTTGTGAAGTTCAAAAGTGTAGTGTGTTTTACATAAAGCTCAGCTGTGATTTTATGTTGATATTATAATGTAATAAACACGGTGTAAGTAACCCATAAAACACATGTCTTATTCATTCAGATAATTAGTCTACATTGTAGACTCTACAATCAGCCGAGTTGCATTTGGCATTAACCACAGCGTACGCGTGCAATGTTCCCCGAATGGCTGAGCGCCAGACAACACAAACAGAAGGAGGGAAGAAAGGAGCCGACATCTCTCCAGACTCAGATAATTATTGCAAGTTTTAATTCAATCGTATTAAATAAAATAGCGCAAGACCATGAAGGAAATTACAGAAGATGACAGCGACATGATGCATGACAATAATGGAGAGAAGGAGGAAGGAGATTTTCCCGTCTCGAGCAAAGCTATTCGAAAGATTATATTGACTCATAAAGGTACCCATCCAGAATCTGGATTCCAGATGACTGAACAATTTCATACTAAATAGTTATAACTTTAATTAGACTATTTGAAACGCAGGTGTTTTAGACATTGGCTGGGAAAACATTTCGCAGGTGACTTTAAGTCATCCCAAAAGTGAAAAAATGTGTACATATTTTGTTGATACAAGAACCCCGTCTTCGGAAGAGTTAAATTCGGCTCCATTTATTTTTGAAGTAATGACGATGGAACAAGATACTAGGTGGGTAGTTAAACGATGTAAAAGATTTGGTCCTTCAATTTTAGCTGATAAAATTCAAAATCAAAATTCATGTATGCAGGAGTTGGTTTATTGACGACCAAGTTATTTCCGATGGGAATATTTATGTTTGCACTCCGATGGATCCGTTATTCATGGTACTGCCTGCATTGTTGAAGGTATAATACATTAACGTGCATATGTATGTCAAGTAAATGAGTTGAAATAAAATCATTAAAAATCATTATTAATTTGCACATTGCAGACAACTCGGGCTATGCAAATTAAGGACCATTTGCTTGAAATCATTAAAGAACCGAAAGTTATTGATGCCGTATTTTCACGTTTATCTACTTCAAATCAGCTCGAAAATATTTCTAATAAAATTGGTAATTTTAACGTCTAATAATAATAATAGTAAATTATCAAGTGTTACATTAATTATGGACTCAAAATGTTTTGTTTTTTTAGTTTGTGACGATATAATTGCGTATAAATTTATTGAAGATAAGGCGTTGAAGTGGTTAAAGTCTAAGGTACATAATACGTCAGAATTTTTAAAGTCTGAGGACATTACAGGGTCTGAGGCATCTGTTTCTTCAAATTTCACAAAAAGTGTCACCACTGAGACAAAAGAGTGAGCATCAAACGTCAAACATGTTTTATTTGAAAAATTCAAATCCAGTACAAGATTTTACCTTTTTTTCTTTTATAGGGAGGAATACACTAGATACGCATCGGAGATTATTGGAGAATACTTGCCAGATAATTTGAAGAAGAAACTATTTGAAAGTCTTGGATTGCCATTTGTTCAAGAAAAGGTGGTCACTAAACGAAAAAGTGAGTTGGAAACGGATCGTTCAAACAACAAAAAGTTAAAAGTGGCTGATGTAAATGGAGAATGTGTTCAACCTACCGAAGATTATGGCACCTCGTCACCATCAAACATCAACAATCCGGTCAGCATTACTTTGATTATGGAACCATTTATTTATTGCTGTTGCACAGTGCCTATAATTACATATATATCTTTTGCAGAAACTGAAAGCCAAGGACAAGGAACTGCAAAAGGCTGCTAAAGGGACACATTCATTATTTAAATTCTTCGCTGCTAAACCCAAGTAGTTATGATTATGTATGATTAGTTATATGGTTTTTAGATGATATATGCAAGTATGATTCCTTTGTTGGGTGGGTTTGAAACTTTTCAAAACTACTTTGTAATATGTAATTTAAGACACGTTTATGTTTCTTTACTAAAGTGTGTCCTGAAACACTTATCGTTGTTATGTTTATCTCTTTAAAAGTGATGCCCATACCCCATAACGCGTTTTTATTAGTATCCATGCTGCGTATCCCATCCCATTCATGTCCGTCCTTGTTCCACAAACGGAGCGGATGACCAGACTGATGAAATCTAGGCCATGGAGGAAGTCATAATAAAATTGGAGCTTGACACTTTGATAAACTGCCGTGATTTGCCCATCGTGTTTTGTGTGAATAATCCCCATGAATTTATTCCGCTTTTGACTGAATTCTCCCCTTTATGCAAATTAGTTATCACAGATATATATGTACTATTTCATTAAACTCATCCTTATATTAACGAAAATCAGACTGAAAGTTTGCACAAACCTTGAAGTAATAAATAAATATTCATGTATTTTATCCACATGAAGCATGAGAAAATGCACTTTTGTGGATTATCGACAAACATGGAGCCTTTTACTTGTGCTCACGGCCACTTGAATGAAAAGATGACAGCAAGTAAATCAATGTCATAAAATGATACTCTTTGTTTTGTTGTCCCTACTTACATACATAATACGTACTAGGTATTTGTATATAACATGTGGCATTAATCGTGGTAGATAACTGTAAAAGAGTTTGTAACATCACACAATAGCAAAATTCTGTCGTCAGGTCATGGACGCCTCAAGTCATGATGAATGGCCATGAAATTTTCTTACCTGGACATACATATTGATCAACCTACATATTTCCTTTTGTCTCTTTCAAAGATGAAACAATGCAATAAAACTCTCCTTTCGAGGGAAACGACAAGAAAATAGAGGGACTCATTATTCTATTCTGCAAACAGATTTATCTAGTTTCCCATAATGAATAACTATTGACTGAATACAAATTGATTATGACAAGACAATTTATATGAAGAGCTGGACACAAAAGCCATGCATCTAATTGTTGCCGTATGATCAAGTCGTTGGCGAAAGTAAAACTTATCTCACATTTCCCACAGAGTCTTTTTTATCGTCATCGTCTCCACCTAATGATCGCTTGTTTAAAAGTAGCTCTTGCTAAAATTTCTGTGTTTGGTAAAGAAAAGCATGTACTTTTCTCAATAGGTATGCATGGCCTTTATATATATATGACGCATATATACCTACACACACATGAATAAACGCATAACTACAAATACCCAAATACCGTTGCGTGCAATAGTTTTTACATAGTTTGCAAAACTTTCTTTAGCAATTCAATGATACATGCAAATGTTCTATGTTTGTCAACAAGTATTTCTGGCATTATTGAAGTTTTGTCAGGAGAAAAGCAATGTCATGTCACATGTGGACTTGTGACAGGAAAATGTCTAGTAATTTTGCTTGACATCTGCAAAAAGTCGGTCAAGGGAATGACTGAAAATGGCACCCTAAGTTTTGTTGTGGTTAAAATATTTATTTTGCACATATATACACGTGGCATGGAATTGGTTTACAAATTCATTTTGTCCACGCATTCGTATTTTCTTTTTGTACACAACTTTTTTTGGGATGTGTGCCAGACGCCTTTAAATATGTACATGAATGCGACCATACTTCCTGTGCAGTTGTGGATTTATTCAGTTTAGCCAGGATTTTATTCTAATCCAAACATTTTAACTTGCTTACATATATACTAAATTAGACAATAGCTTTCGTACTAATCGACTGAAAATGAGGAGGAGAGGTTCACCATGCAATCTCAGATTTTGATACCCTTTGGATATTTTGTAGTCCGAGATGAGTGAGTGTAGAAAAGTGAAGAAAGGTTTTACTCCATGGCCCGTTTGCGCGCGCCACACCCCTTCAAAGGCCTTATAACCACTAAATTGGGTTTTTGATGAAGGTTTGAACAGGTGAGAACAGGAATTTTTTAGCGTTTTTGGCCCTTTTGAGTGGGTGTGGTGGGCGTAAACGTGGCCATGGAGTAAAACCACCTTGAGATTTTAGTAGGCTCATAGTCAGCTAGTACTACAAAATATCAACTACAACATGAAAATCTGGTACTGTCAACCTCGCAACCTCCAAAGTCCAGTACCTCCCAATCGTTTATACATAAATGCACTTTGCGAAATAAACACAGAGCGTAATTTAATGTCTCTTTTGGTAGCACACATTTCTCCCTTTTTATTTGAAAAGCAATCCAATTTGTGGGAGTAATAAAATTTTATCGGAAAGCCCATGCCAGCTACTACACGGAATAATTATAGACCACTTTAATGCGTTCATACAGAGAGAGAACGATTCGAGGTCACTGCTATTAAATTTCTTCTTTAGTGCAGTTTAATATAGTTCAGTTAGTTCAGCCAGTCTTTCATTTGCACATAAAACCATCAAATGCATCAAAATTGTAATAATAATATTTTATTGGTTGCCCTTTTTGTAAGAATGAAATTTTTATGCTATTTCTATCGTCATATAGGAAACACTCTTTCACCCGGACTTCATTGATTGACTTCATTGATTTTAATGGAAGAAATCAACCTTATTGGTTTGGTGGGCCCATTCTTTGATGGCTTTCTACTGCTCAATATTTTTTAGACTTGAAAAATAAACATTGACAACCTTTGCCTAGTTCGATTTAGTTTACAGATAATACTGCATAATTTAGCCCTTAATCAGCATTAATTTCTTGCGACCGTATGTAGGTTTGAGTTCTGCTTGCATACTTCCCCTTCGTTTAAAAACATTCAGTGTGTTTTTAGTTTGCATATACATATTTGCATGCATTATAAATAAGCCGAGGTGGATCGAAAATTATTTCAGTTTTGGTTTTACTCTAGACCAATGACAACCGTCCAAATAGTAAATCCAACTCACGACCCCACAAGTTTACTTTATGGTAAAAATCTAGTGTCATCATAAATTTAACAAACAAAGGGGGATACAGAACACGAGATTATTTTCATTGGATGGTCATTATTGGTTGACTTTCATGTTAAGGTTGCGAGTGTATCCAATTGTGCTTTGTAAGCCTGGTCAGAACTAATTCACATACATAAATGTCTGCATGAATCAAGATCTAAAGTTGAGTGGATTTCTACAATCTCTACAATATATGTAAGCCTTTTTAGTTGAATTGAATTGAATTTCATCATTAGAGTTGGTGAACATTAGCCAATAAGCTCTCTCTTCGTATGCATAATAACTCAGCCACCGTATAAGCCATTTTCAAAGTCATGGGAATCCCAACTTTTCAATTACAATAGAAAACTCATTTGCAAAACGTGACGTTGTTCGTCACAATTCTCATTTCGGGTCGACAAACTTGCACTTTAACCTCAAGTGTAGTTCTGCTCAAGAGCGTCGAGTGAGACGGTTGTTAATCAACCCCACGTCGACATCGACATTCAGCCAGTGAGCATATCGAGCCGTACGACAAAAACATACAGCAACCACTCCTGTAACTGGAACTGTATCCGGATTCAGCTCTTGGTTGAGAGAGTGAAGAAAAACAAGGTGAAAATTCTGATGTATCTGCGACAATCAAACATTCGACAGCAAACAAGGAGCTCATGTACGGAATATGTAATTACCAATTCGACAAGGGAACAGCGTAAATCGAAGGGAATAGGAAACATGTCCGTGAATGGTTCTAAATAATGTAGCAGGCACAGGTCACTCACTACTTTCTCCCCGGCGTCGTCGTTCCTTTACATCACTCGAAAATCAACTCTGTCCACTTCGTCTACTCACTTTTAGCATTGCTTTAAATGTTGAATGGGTAAGATAGAAATGTGTGAAGTGTGATTCGATTTCACGATCCACTCCGTTATGGTCGTTTGAAAAGTCAAAGTTGAGGGTGTCCATGCAAAGACATATCGACTCCAAAGTAGACTTTTGCTATATGCGAGTAATTATAAAGAGTACTGATTAAAGGAGGGTCGAGAGTGGCTGCGTGGTACGCTAATTTGTATACATGCATAATATGCAACATTATTAACATTCCTTGCAATTGTTCTCATTGGTGCTCATGGCTTGTTGGAGGACAAAGAGAATACCTTTGTGGGTGAGATAAGAGAGAGAAAGGTGGTACGAAACCCCTGGTAAATGAGAGACGACTGTGTGCACCTCACCTGACTATCCAGCTAACCTCACACACATGTACCACACACGTATCGGTATTTGTGTGAGACTTTCCGCCGTGACTTTCCCCATCATCGGTCAGTCCATCGGGCGTAAAGCACTAGTGACTTTTATCCATGCAGCCATTCTTAATAAAGGGGGCGGCTGGCGAGAGTGACTGCAATGGCTGCACACATGTAAATTACCCTTAATGTAAAAACTCGCAGATAAGCTCTGTCTCATGATACTGATATTCGTCGTGTTGGGTGAGTCTCATTCTACCAGATATACTATACGTTTGTACCTGTGTGCATATGTGTGCCCTGGTGAAAGTGAGAAGCGATAAACAGTGTGGAATCCACTCATTTTCTTAAACTACTGGGCGAACTGGCTCATGCTGCACTGATATTCTTGAACGATTTCTTTCGTGGCTATGACCCAGTGGTTCGTGAGTCCATTCATTTGTTGGGGGGTTGTTCAGGTGGTAACATTTTAGTCTTGTATTTACATACGTGGCGTGACATGGTGAATTGAAGACGGCTGTTTAAGAAAATAAAATGTGCATACGCCGTTCAACAGCCAAGTCAGCAAACCTTGGGTAAAATCACAGTCATTGACTTGCACTCGTCCTCCAGTCGACAGAGTCGTATTTACAGAGTCGCAAATTGCGACAACAAAACATACTCTCATTAAGCATTACTCATTACGTATGAGAATGCATTTACTAAAATGACCTTCCATGTTTATTTAATCACACACAAAAGGAGTTTTGATTCGAACCAGTCTGTTTCCTGGATTTCTTCACTTCATTCGTGAAAATGTGAAGCCTATTGTGTTTTTGTTAAAAAATTGAAAACATGTTGCTGACGTACAGACCCAGAGCTCCGCAGTTTCAAAATAACTTCTTGTTCAACCACGTAGGAGTTGTACAAATTTGAGTTCTTCGAGAGAGAGAGAGAAAAAAAACGTAATTTCATTTCGTTCTGATCTTTTTATCGAAATTCTGATGAAATCGGAATGGGATGCGGAGTGAGCAAAGAAAGTGCTGCTGGAGTGCTGGGCAACACGGTGACGCAGAATGGAAACTCTCACGGTAAATCTAACGGGAAAGTGGATCCATCTTCGCCAAACGGCAAATCGGCTGCCAACGGTAAGATTCTCTGAATTTCTCGTATTGCTTTTTCACCCTTGGATGCAAAAAGAAGTTGTTATTCCAATCGTTCCACTATTTTTTGTTATACTTTCACTCCCCTTATGTCAGCCCAGACCAATATATTCATTCGTGCAGAGCCAGTAATTATCATACGAAACAGAACAAAAGTTTGTATTATTATTATTTGGTAACGCTTGGGAGTCACTCTATTGATTCCATCTGCTGAATAGGTACGAACACTGACGTTAATTATGTTCATGTCAATATCTGCTTATGCAACTGACATGCATTTGTTCAGTACTTTCACCAAAGCCCTGTGACTGTTTTCAATTGCTCCGAAGAGATGGGATTATGACCAGCTATCTGCAAAGCTGATCAAACAGTAATTACACAGATTCGTTGAGTTTGTTCTGATAATAAAGACGGAGAATACAATGACAATACGCCAAGGGCAGGAATCCTACTGTACTAAATGTACATAAAGTGGGATAACATGCACAAAAACCCATATTATATCGTGTATAATATTGCTTGAGCTATTTTTCAAGATGGTTTTATAACTTTCTTGTCTAAATAGAAATGTGTTATAATCTGAAAAGTTCTTTGAAGTTGAGCCCTTGGAATAAATATTCATTTTTAATGACTGGAGGAAATATATTGACTTTTTTCTCCATCCACATGTACTCAATTCAAGTAAGTTTTTGTTTGTTCCCAGCCAAGTGGAACAGAACCTCAAAAAAGTTGCGGGTCGAGGTTATGGGGAGTAGCACATAGAAAATGGGTTAGCCAAGTAAAGAAGATTGCTCATTGCTTGCTAACTTCTAAACATGGCAGGCAGAAGCATATAGCCATTTACATCCGTTGTTGTGTGCTTTGCTTTCACCAACAACTTCCTCGCGACATTTGCCCCCCTTCCAATCCGTTCCTGTCAATTTGTTTGTTCTGCATGCTCAAAAGTATTTTGTGTCCTTCAAATACATAAATAAGCTTTTAACAAGTATTCATGCTCGCCGGTATGGTTCTTTGAATCACGAGCCTAAAATTTGCTTAAAATGATCCCGTAATAAGTCCTCTGTTTCTACTGGTTTGCATGTGGGTGGACCTTCACGTGGGTGGCGCTATGTTATTCAAAGAAACCAGTAATGCGTCATTCGGGTAAAGTGGTTTGTTGATTTCCACCAAACCAACTACCAACCAAAATTTTGTAGTAATAAAACGATAACAATATTTCCGGGAAATATTTTGGTTTGCCACGAGCTACACAGATCAATATAACATAATCCCCAAGTATTTCAGCTGCTTATGCATTTCGATGCCGCAAACTTCACGTCAAACACCAACAAGGTCGTAAATAAATACGGTATTTCTACCGAGAGATGCACCGACAGATAAATGCTATCAAGATTTTCTTGTCATATTAGCCGAGGAGGAAAACTGACACAAGCTCAGGAATGTCGAACAGGAAGCTTATGAATTTCAAATTTCAAATATATGCCCATCCAACCGGCGAACCGTATGCTGATCGAGAAAGCTCTGCAGCTCCCAGGGAACGGGAAACTTGGGAAGGCAGATGAGAGAGTCTCTTCCCAATGGATGCGTGACATAAAACCGTGGCCAGTGGGAGCAGCATTATCAACGCGTTTGAAACTTGTCATTTTTCTGATACAATATTCTTTCAGTGACAACAGAAACAGAATTGCAAAATTGATGGATGTGATCTTATAATTCAGAAGGTTCATGCTGGTGACAGTAAAATTGCATGCTCACATCACCCCATTTCCTATTACCATTTCTATTATCGTGGTTTTACTGGAGAATCACCTTCAGAATTTCAGATGTGCTATGCAATTTACTACTATGAATTTTTAGCTCGAGTTAATTAATAATTAGGCATATGGCACGATTTTGTCCGTTCATCTACTAATCTCACCCACAATAATTTCTCCAAAATTATCTGATGGAATTGAAATTGTAGTCTGGGTAAGACGAAGGGGCGAATTTAAAGACAAGCGATATGGTCAAGTGCTTGACCGTTTGGGGATAATAGTGCACATTACTGCTGGATATTTGAATATTTTGAATGCTTGCAGAAGGAAATTCGGATAATTTTCCGATTCATTTGTCGCACTTACTAGCTAGGAATAAACTTGGAGCGTAGTGGTACAAGGGCAAAATTATCATTTCGAGATACCCAGCTGGGTTGTCCTACTGTTTTGGAAAATGGTCACAGAAAGCTGAAATTTGCATGGGGCTCGGGTTGAGTCTGAGTAATAAAATAGCAGGGAGCTCAGATTGTCACCCAAATGATTCATGCTGATTTTTGTAAATTGGGTTTTCGATACAAAAAAGAATCGCTATCGCGAAAAATATTGAACAATTGTTATGCAGAAATAAACATTAATAAATAAAGTCTCGGACTTTATGGACACTGCAAGTTTTTTAAGATATCATTAAAACGAACGTGGTGGGGATTTAGCTTTGGTTAAAAATTGCGTCGTACTCCTTACGACCCAGTTCTCACACATTTACATAGCTTCCCGGAACGTGGGTGGTTAGATGAGTTGGAACTAAAACGGCACAACTTTCTCCTTATCTCCTGTTTCATTGTGTGTATCATTGTATATGCATGTTTCAGTCCCATTCTCACTGGTTATACCGACTCTGCTGTAGTTATGCACCTACTTCTTAATACTCACTTTAACATTTCTTCGTAAAGTATTCTTTATGACTATCCTAGTCCTCAGCTACGTTTAACAATTCTGTTTTAGTTTGAATTAATTGCACAGTTTACAGAGGATTAAAAGGCCTTCACATTTTATACGAGAATCATTAATGCAGACTTGTTGAATTAAATGAACCTTCAATTTTTACTGTTTTCTTAAAGTGAAATTTATATTTCAATCTCTGGTAGATATGTAACCATTTACATAATCGTACATATGTGATCAACCCACTCCATTCATCTCAAAGTTAATCCTTATCAACAGCTCGCCTGCAATTATGTATGTACATCTGAAGTTGAGGAAAAGTCGTCGTTAAACTTTTATTGTACATTAGTCGTCTCCCATGCTGAAGGTCAGTCTCGCTAATTACTTTTGTGTCTTCCGAGACTGGGTGGAACATTGTGGGGATGAGTCTGGTGAGGCGATGGGAACGGAGTGATATGAAATTGTGAAGACGAGGAAGAGTGGAAATGTTGAAAGAAAGTGATGTGATATCGATCCAGCAGAACACATTCCAAGTCCACGTCCAAGGGACCTCTGGGAGTCCATAGTGCGCTCCGTGCTGGAGAGAATCATCCTTTTCCTTTCCTTCGCATTCTAAGGCTGGCGACACGATTTTCTCTGCATGCACCAAGTCAACCATCAACTTTTCCCCTGTTAGTTTCTTCCACCAACTTTTACTACATCCTAAAATCCACACCACGACACTACATGCAAGAATATATCTACACTGTTCCTCCGAGCACACCAAACCACTCCAGCCAAACTCAACCCGACTACAAAATCAACAGAAGAGCAAAAGTAGAAAGACGAATTCTTTTTCATTTCTTTAAAATTGATTTTTTCTACTCGAAGCAAGCAAGGAAAGTATTATTTCTCTTCTTCGAAAGAAGAAATGGAAACATTAACTTTGAGCTTAAGAAGTTCAAGTTGATCTGCTTTCTCTCTCAGGCTGACATTCCCAGTGACTGATAAGCACAAAGGGCCTTCAAGTTAGGATGAAAAATGTTGATTCAACATATTTAAAAAAAAATATCGACCAAAATAACTTTCATCTTCATACGTACTCGATCATCTGCATACATGGACGTGTGCAGTTTCCAAAGAATTTTTGCATCATCCACATACATGTACGTACGAAGATAGAAGAATATGTTGAGAATATGCAGAGAGAGAGAGAAAAAGAAAAATATGCCATTCATTAAAAAATTCAAAAGATATGAAACCGTATAAATATCTGATGAATGTCAAGATGTCGATTTTCCTAAAGTGCAAGCAGTATGATTGGAGCTGCAGAGTGGAAGTGGGAATGACACTGATAAAGGAAGTGGCAGTATTTGTAGCAGATCAGAGTTGATACTCACAGGATGAGACGTTAAGAATTTTTTGATCCAAGCCTAACGTTTTTGTATCTCTTGCACCTCTCGCAAGTGCCACATTCCTACTCACATTGTTGTTCGCTCGAGAGAGAGAGAGAGACGGTGGTCGGGACGGAGGAGTTATGCGCCAACTCCCGCAATATCTAATGGCATAGCTCGTTCCCCACTAGATTCGCGAGTGCGAAATACACGGAGAAAGCAAATTGGGATTCAACACACAGGCTGCACAGTAGACCCTCCGAACGCTCCCGTCCCTCCAAGGGCCTTCTATCCACTACATGCCCACCACCAACATGTGCACATAAATCCCTCCAAAAAAGCAGGCAGAAAAAGCTGCCCGTCTTACCCAGGGACTCAATAATAACATCCACATGCAAAAACATCGCATATTGACGACCCCTTCAAAAAATATTTTACACTTACAATATTTTTAAATGAAACAAGGAAAATTTGAGATGGAGAATGACACACATGATTTTGCACCACCATGTAGAAATGCCAGGGAAAGTGCATTCCATTCCCAGCCCAAGCTAAATCTGTACTTGGTCTTGCTTCACACATTGCACACCCGACTCCTCCGTCGCTCGTATTGCATGGACTGCTGAGCTGCCTGCTTTCTCAATACCCAATCCCAAACTTCGTGGCCGACCAACCACCACCACCACTCATTCTGTCTCCATCCTGTGCAGACGCAACATCGTCGTGGTCTCTCCTTCTCTCGCACCGTCTCACACTTTCGAGCCTGCCTTTCTCGAGATTATTACTATTAAATATAATCACAATATCCTCACATTTCAACGACGCGTCACCTCCACTCCTCCAGCCTGTCCAGAACTACGTTACGTAACACTTTGGGGGTATCCGTTCGAACAACAGCTTCAGTTTGTGCAGTCGC